CCCCCCCCCCCTTTTGTCGTCACATGCTCTCCTGGAAGAGTCAACCTTGAAGAGCTGGTCTCCCAGTCCCATATGTTGCCTCGGGAAATAGATTCCTACTCGTTCCCCGCAGCTCTAGCACTTGATGTAAATTGGACACAATCCAAAAAAAGATTAAAAAGCTAACACTTTTCGGCTCAATAGTGGGAGTGCACGAGGAGCACCGATTTCAGTATGAGTTTTGTTCCGAAAAGTCATACGAGATTGTCGTAGAAACGGTCCCATCCCAAGTGAACAATTCTGAGCTCTCCCTTCTGCAAGGTCAGATCTCTGCCCACTTGGGCCTAGTGTATCAGGAAGAGATGGAGGCGAGTCTGTATGATGAAGCGATATCCCTGGCCAAGGAGGCTGACCTTGCGATATGTTTCGTCGGCAATACAGTGCAGTGGGAGACAGAGGGCCAAGACCTCCAGTCCATGTGTCTTCCGGCCAATGGGTCACAGGATCGCCTTGTTGCAGGAGTGGCTAGGGCAAACCCCAATACCATTGTCGTGATCACCACCGGTGTACCTGTGGAACTTCCCTGGATTGACGATGTTGCCGCATTGATGCAGGGTTGGTATGCGGGTCAGGAGACTGGCAATTCTATTCTTGATGTCATACTCGGAGACGTTAACCCAAGCGGCAAACTGCCTGTGTCATGGCCCAAAAAATACGAGCACACAGCTTGCTACGGGAATTTTGGTCTCGACAGCTACGAGTCGCGCCAAGTCGAGTATGTCGAGGGTGTCAACGTCGGATATCGACATTTTGACCACCACTACGATACCGAGAAGGAAGTGCGATTTCCATTTGGGTTTGGGCTTGGCTATACATCCTTCGATATCTTGGACGTCAAAGTCGCGGGACAATTAGTAAACTGCCCAATCGACACAATAGTTGTTCTTGTCACGATCAGAAACACAGGTTCAAGGATTGGATCACAGGTGATTCAAGTCTATCTTTCGCCGCCGCATGCGAGCAAAGACAACAGCCGGCCACGTAAAGCCTTGGTCGCTTTCGAGAAGGTAAAGTTACACCCCGGTGAGGAAAAAGCTGTTGAGATGGGGTTCGGTAGAGATGCAGCAGCGTATTGGGACGATCGGTCAAAGGATGAGGGAGGTTACTGCTGGAGAGTTGAGAAGGGAGTACACGAGATCGCAGTTGGGACTAGTTCGCGTCCATCCGACTTGGCCATCGTACTTAGCCTAGAGATTCCCGAGGAGTTTTCTTTTGGACCGTAGGCATGTCCAATGTTACGGGCTTCAACCTCGAAATCAACACGTCGATGCCCGTCATGTGATGGAGCATACTACAGCCAACATGATGGAGAGATGGTTGCGCAGCCATCATCATCAATAATGTTGACTGGGTGGCCATTTATAATTTCCAAACTATCCCCCAGCAGGCGACTTGTAATCTCTGCATGCATCAAGGATATGGCACAAGCACTCTTCGTGAGCTTGATATTCGTCACATACTATGTATGCTCCACGTGCGTTGGGGTGGAATGCTCGGGAAATACAATTGCACGTTTGTCGCACTTTATCATGAGCTCCGTCTCCGCATCGAAATATACCATCGGTATATCCGTTAAATATTAATAGCGCTTTGACTCTATCAGAGCATCGAGTACTGTGTAAGTTTCTCCAGGGATTGGCGGCTCTCGATCCTCGTGCCGGACGGTGGGTACTTACCAGGTCGGTATGTAGGTAGTAATCTGTAGTTTTCTCCATAAGTCAAAGCTTGGCTTGGTCAAAAGTCGACCATGAAGATCTGGGCCATGTTTGATCAGGCTTGGAAATAGATCTCTGCAGATATTTAAGGCTTTGAGAGATTCAATCCACAATAGGTTGGTAGGTATGTAGGTATATTGTGCAGGCATGACGAGGCTCAGCACGCACGTCTACATCTACGCCGGCAGTCGCACTGGGGTCACCACCTGCAAGCAATACCGTGTATTGCTGCAGGTCCACCTCTGTGGCAATCATGATAGCCATGTCATGACATTTCCTCGCAAGAAAGCGGCTTTTTCAAGGCCGGAAAGAGCCTTCTTTTGTGTTAAAGTTGATCAGTAAAGTTGTGTACCAGTATTGCGACTGTGAGCTTGCTGGTTCTACAGTAGCTCTTCGTTTACGCCCAATCGCCTGCGCATCCGAGATACCTGCACCGAGTCTACAACAAGAATACATTGACGGTTCGAATTGTCTTCATTTCGACGGCGCGATTCCTGTTTGTGCCTAGGTACACGGGCGCAGAGATTACGTGGCATGAACGCCTGGAAAAATCACCACACCAGTCCGCCAGTCCGAAATTACTATATTGTTTTTATGTGCTCTTGACCATGATGTTGCTATAATATGGTGGGTATCGATCAGGGCAACGCATCATTCAATTGGATCAATCCCACCACCCAAGGGATTAATACGACGCACTTTAAAAGCATGATGTTGCATTGACTCTAGGTATGGGCTGTTGAGCTTTCTCATATTGGAAAACTTCTTGTTTTGAGTGTGTTGACAACTTACTACCTACTACTTTCTACCTTCCTGGTAGTCCTTACATAGTATCTGCAAAGTACAGACATACTTGGGTACGGCATCGTCCGTTCATCCCCCCTCTGTCCCCCCACGCGGTGGAGCGCTGAGCCTTTTTTTTATTTCCCCCCCCGCAACCGTTGCCAACGGCCGCCGCAGAGAGGGGGAGTTTTAGGGTTTAGGAAGCAGAGAACCAAGGACAAGAGGGGGAGGGGCGGCGCTGCTCAGCCAAAGAGCATCATAGCGCATACAAGATTCTCTATTCCTCGTGCTCCAGCGCCTCTTTGTTGTTTGAAAGTTGGAAATTCGAGGCAACAGATGCCTCATGGCTCGCGGCCACAACAGGACGCCTTGCTAGAATCAGATAAGGGACCGAACAAGTATGCCTCCCACTCGGCAACTGCCACAGGCGCTTGCGCCAATAAACCTGCCTGTCATCCCACCTTCATGACGGATTCGCGGTCTGTGCGGCGGGGATCTTTCTCCCATGGCGTTTTCCACAGACTCGAATTGGCCATGGGGATTTCCAGCTACGAGATTACGCCGATGTCGTTTCTTTATTGTTGTTTCTTCTTAGTTTACAAGTCCTAGGACAAGAGATGGATGGCGTTTCAAAGCAGCGAGCCTCAAAATAGAATCCATCCGACTCCGACCACTATTTCGGGCAAGGTCGGAGAAGCCCAGAGGGAGGTGGTTTCTCCAAAGAGCCCCAGCTGCTTTTTGGAGTCTGAGGGTTTCCCCAGTCTTGATCAATTCATCGATCCATTCTTATCAATCCGTGTCCAGTCTGATCTGTATGCTGGGCAATGCGCACGAGGGGATGACATTACTCAAGAATCCAAGGCATCGCCAGCCCTGGATTAGGTAGGATGCACTGGTCGCTCGATATCTACTAAGCTCTCCGCGCCTCGGTTCATCAACCGAGAATATATGAATGTTCCATACCTAAGCAGTCAAGATACGCAAGGGCCTCTGAGCTCGGGTCGTACCCAGCCCACCGCCAGCAGCTCAATCGATTGGTCAAATAGTCGTGCGGAGCCAAGCTTTCGTCCGATGCACGTGCAGCTTTGCTCTCTCAAATCAATGTCAAGACGCTCGGCGCGCGCATGAAAAAGGCCGCTCGTGTAAGTCCAGATGCAGCACTTGCGTCCGTAGCATCGACCTTGATATGCACCAACAGTGTGGCAATAATTTCATTCTTGAGCGAGGCAAGCGATGCTCGTACATAGACCGACATGTGCTCTGACACATCATACAACTGTTTGAGGTGGTCGGGCTTTTTGTCTGAGCCCTCCATGCAAGAAATCGACTCTTCCGTCCGCAATGGCCACGCAGATAACAGCCATCCCTCGTGGCCATGCAAGTGCGGGTGCATCCCAACGCCTCGTCTGAATGGGCAGGCCGATATGAAGAATCCTTGTGTCCCTTGAGAGCTCATGGGCATATATATCTCCCTCGCATCTGCTGCGCTGGCCCCCCAATCAAGCAGTTTTGGGTCTTCTTGTACCGGCTCTCATTAATCGTGCTATACCAGCGAGAGTGCGTTTAAGGAGAACTTACCAGCCACGTATAATATGCTCGACCGATAACATGGGAACTCAATTACCGGAGGGGGCGGAGGGAGTCGCCGCGGCGTCGGTCATCTTTGCTTGCGCCAGCATCGTGAGCTCCTCCATGGTTATTTGGCTAACCTTTGTCCATAATGAAAGTCGATCATGTAAGGTCCACTCGCACTCTTCCTGCTAGCCCAGATGTGTCATGACATTGATTGGATCTCACTTACTCATTTCTGCTAGATGTTGCCCTGCTGGCATACTTTACTCTGCTGAGCACGGCGGCTTCGATAATTCAGCAAATACACGTCATTGCATTCTATCGAGACGTCGAAATCCAACAATATGAAGCAAGAGTAAAGGATCCGTTCAGTCCAGATGCACGCGTGGCCAATGGGTCTACAGGCATGGATCTCATCCTGTACTACATACGTAGGTCAAACGCGAGAGGACTATGAGTTTATGCTAATACAACCCAGAGTTTTACTGCTATCAGACAATGTCACTTCTAATATTGTGGTGGTATGTGATCTCATTTGTTCTTTCTTGTCGCCGCAGTGGCCCGGAAGTAACGCATCGGTTCTAATAAAGCAACAGGGCGTCTGAGCTTGCTCAATCCGTCTACGGGCTTCTCCACAAAGGCACAACCCGAAGAATACTGCGGAGGGTCAATGCTGCAGGAAAGATAACTGCCGTAATTATCCCACTGATCATCATTCTGCTGCTGCGGGCACCTCCAGTACAAAAAGACCCACTCGTCTTTACGGTTATCACTGACATACCTTGTAAGCTTTGGACTATCTTTATATGGATCAAAGGGTTTCCCTGGCATTTGCTGATATCTCTACAGTGGGTCTTGCTATGGGCCTTGGCTCGATACTCATGCTAGTGATCCTCGGTCGCTACATCTACAGCCGCAGGAAGTTGCTGCGCTTTGATGCTGGTCAAGGAGCCTCGACAGACCCAGAGTCGCAAACCAGCAGCTCGCAGGCCGGCAGCAGATACAGCAGATTTTCGAGAGCCACAAAGCCCAAGAGAAACAGGGTCATTTACGATAGATGGATCATGACACGCTTCACTGCCGCTTTCTTTTTCTTATGGTACGTTGCTTGCTTGATTACTTTTGTTTTGGAGGAGGCCAATGTTCACTCTAACTTGGTGCAATGCAGTATATTCCAGGCGACCGCAACCCTATTCCAACAACTGTCCATTGGCAACTTTGAGGATCGCCTAGCAATCCCCGAGCCCGACTTTAGTGTAGAGAAAGCACGCAAGTCGCTACTACTATTCATCCCGGGCAACCTCCCGGGCATTGCGCTTTTCTTGGTTTTTGGCACAACTACCGCCTTCCGCAGATACATGCGTGAAAGGTATTTCGCCTTGATCAGTTGGATCAAGACCATTCGCCAGCCAAAGAAGAAGACGCAAGTCTATCCTCCGGAACTACCCACGCCACGCATGGGCTACCAGCCGCGCATCTATGCGGAAAGGCCCGACCTTATGAAGACGTTGCCACACCGTCCAGACTCGAGTAATGACGACCTCGACGCCGACGTGCAGCTTAAAGAGGCTGAGAAGGCCATCGTACACGAGGGAAACACGATTTTTGTCATGCGAGAGCTATCGGTCCAGAGATCGAGCAGATACATTGATCAAAGAATGCCGACAGACTCGACCAAGGACTCGACGCCATCGTTGATTATCATGAGACAGTCAACCGACGACGAGAGAGAGAATGAGTAAGATGCCGACGACGATAATTTCACGAGGTTTATGATGATATGAATACCTACCCAGCAATATTTACCCATGTAGGTGGGTTCTGGAAATCGCCACGTGGTTTCATGTGGCCTCACTCGGGCGATGCAGCACGATGGCTCCTGAGAGCGCGTAAAATGGCCATGAGGAAGATGGCATGGGATCTCCTGGACGGGACAGATAGCGTCGAGCAGTATCCTCCGCTTGTATACTGTCGCGGGACGCATTAAGCAGGCTCGCACACAAAGGACTAGAGTTGACATGGCGTTGGATTGGGCAGAGACGATTGAATGTGATACCCAGATACCAATCTATAATTGCATCAGACAGACCAGGAACCGAGACTTGGCCTGGGCAAATAAGTTTGATTGCCTCCAGTACATCTTGATACATGAGCTTGTTCGCTTGTGAATGTCGCTTATCGAAACTCAGCAAATCTTCCCATTCTTGCTTGTAGGATCCGAGCTTTGGCATCTTCACGGTTGCCATACTCGAGGCATTGCGGTAAAATAAGTCTGTTGGGCCCCGTGGTAGCAACCGCCGCCACATACCTGTAGGCCGCCGAATTCAGCAATGCGTGGCTTCGAGATGCGCTTGGCGCGGATCAGAGATGCCGATTCGGGCAATCGAGTCACTCCCCCACATTCAGGACTGGAGTTTTCCAATTGCATGCTTGACCCCCTTGTCCAAGAGACCACGCTTGCATGCCAAAATCCATCATGTACCACAGAGGCCGTGTCCGAGCGTACCTTTGCGGAATGATATTCAAATTGTGGTAGATCGACGATGGGTTCATCTATTCCAGGTCGTGAAAGTCTTGACATTTGCGATTCCCTCCTCGAGGTTGCGTGATGCAACTCAACTAAACTAAAACCATACAAGAATAGAAGAAAAAAAAAAGTTCACTTCAAGTAGAATGGTGGCTCATAAAAGTGCAAGGCTTGGTTGGCTATAAAACCAAAAGATAAGAAAGAAACTTGAAGCAATATTGGCTTCCGTTGATTGTCTTGCCTCAGCAGGTGGAGGTCTTCTGCTCGTTAGGATTGTGTTCGGCAGACCACGCAATGAATTCCGTAAGGTTGGGGTACTTCATCCTGACTACTCGATTTCGCCTTATTAATTTGATTCTCTCCAAAAGAAGTGAATCTCTGTTCTGCATATGTTTTCATCAAGGCCCAGTGGCACGCTATAAGCCATGACAAAAAAAAATGAGAGCTGATTTGGTGCGCTGTGGATGTTCCTCTGTTGCGGCTTACTGATCTTCTGTTAAGAATGTCTGTCAATGTAGACCATCATGATGACAGAGCTTTTCAACCGATTCTTTGCATCTCCGCATCTATACAGGTGACAAATTTCAGGTCGGCCCGAGGCAAATAGCGCAGATGAACACATTCACTTTATTTTCAATCACCACTGCAAGACATTGAATTGATGGGCAGGATCTAATATGATATCTCGTGCATTGGCCCATCTCAGGGCATTCGCTCGGGTCTCATCGCAATCCTCTGCATTTTTCATGAGAGATAAGCATGGAAACATGGTCCTGTATCCATCCTCTTGCACCCTTTAAACCTCGATATTGAGAGCCACCTTTGCACTCATGGTGGCGCTTCCATAGAAGACTTCGGTGCCCGCATTGCCCACAGTGACATAGTCGCTGTCTGCAATGTAACCGCGCTGCGCCATGGCATCCAGCCACTCCTTGAGGTCACCTTGAAACTCGCCCTCAAAGTTGTCATCGACCAGCAGACTGCGGACTGTGACTCCATTGTTGGGGTTCTGTCCCTCGTACAACTTCCAGCTGGCTCCAAAGAGGTCAAACGTGGCAACGGGTCCGTCCACGTAGCCGATAGGAACCTGACCACCCCAGATTCGGATCCAAAGCATGAACTCGGACGTGGCCGTCGAGTCATGATCCCCTTTGGTAGGGGCAGTAATGAAGTCGAACAGGTTGGACCCTACGGGAGTCTTGGTCAGTGGTGCTACACAAGCAGAAGAATGAGTCATGAATACTGAAGCTTACCTCTGAACTCGGTGGTATTGGTGCGATCCCACTGAAAGTAGGCAGGTATGGAGGAGATATCGCTGAATCGCTGGTTCAGGTTGACGCCAATACCAATGTTTGTGTAGCCCTTGCAAAGATCCTTGGTAGACTCGACAAAATCAATGTCGGTGATGCTAGTCCAGGATACTTCTTGAGTGCCATCGGCGGCTTCGAGGATTCCCTCAAAGTTGGTGCACTGTGAGCCTACCATTTGGTCGGCATTGTACATGGAGTTGGCAACAGTCCACGGCATGCCGGGCAGGCTCAGAACATCATTGTCGCCGCATTGTTCAGTTGCGGAAACCTTGAAAGAGATTGGTGTGGCCTCAGTATAGGACGCGCTGATGACCTGGCTGGGCGAGGTATCGGTGGAAGACGCGGCTTGGGCCGTCTCGGAGGTTGTCGGTGCTGCAGCGGTAGTTGGGGTTGTAGTTGGCGCGTTTTCTGAGGCGCTGGTGATCAATGAGCTGGTAGTCGGGACAGCCACTGACGACGAAGATGACTCAATTATGGTGGTGGTGGCGGGCAAGACCGAGGTTGAGTCGACCTCCTGGCTCAAAGAGGAGGACGTCAAGGACGTATAGCTGGTGGCCTCAGCAGAGGAAGGATATGCAGGCACGGCTGTGTAAGTGCCGTTTCCTGCTGCACTTTGCGGCGGCGGGCGACCACCACCGCATTTGGGCAAAGCGTAAGCAGCCAAAGGACCTATAGCCCCCAAGGTCAAAAGTTGGAACTTCATGTCTGTATGTTCTTCCGCGTGGTAGGGGAAAATGTCCCTATAAAAAAAAAAGAACGACGAAGTGAAGGAATGACGCTGGGTCAATTCAAGAATTGAATACAAAAATCAAAGGAATGACGTTTTGGTATCGAATGAAAAGAATGATGATACCAGTAGCCGCGAGGGCAGGTTGGTTGGTGAGCGAGAAGAAGAGAACAAAAAAGGACAACACGAACGAGACCAAGTGGCGTGCACTTCCAGACAATGAAACGAAAGAAAGGCTGTCCAGGAAACATTAGTATAAGTAGGCAGGTACCTGTTATATGAATTGTATCGCTCAGCTATTGTACTACCTACATGGTACCGAATTGTGTTGGCGTTTGCCCTTAATGATCCTCGTCCCCTATGCAAGCCCCTATGCAACCAGACCGACGGAACCGAGCCCGGACGGATGACCGACGCTCAAAACCCCAGGCAAAGGAGCAAAAGACCTGTCATTCAGGATTCGGAGGACGTCCAACGGAGGTTTCATCGTAATGGAGTCAACACCCAAATGCCGGCCGATCAACCCCCAGCGCCCGCCTTAGCGTCCCCCCAGCAGCCAGTCAAGTCGCTGGAACGGCTTCCGACTTTGATGAAAGGACGCTGCCGCTGATGGCCCAGATCGGGCCAGGGGATGTTTTTGCAGGGCGGCAATCGTTTAATGGGAAACACAGTTATGCTTCTTTTTTAAACGCCCCGGCCTATGATGCACAGTAGAGAGCCGCCACGCTCAACAGGGCAGCAATGCGTTCTTGGCAATGCTTACTGCAGGACAGAGAGCAATGGACCTACCTGGGTACTACTACTAGGTAGGTATTCTTATTGTCCTATCACTTTGGGTACCTAGGTACCTAAGGTTAGTAGGTAGGCCATCTGCATATCATGAGGGCGGCAAAAATCAACAAAGAAATCATAATATCTCATATTTTCCCATCATTTTCGCATGATACTAGTTATCCATCCGTACTGACTTGTCGCTATTTTCTGTCGCGGCGGTCTTGTACTGACATATATCGAGTTGCACGCCCTGTGGTACATTCGTTATTCAACGCGATCGCATCACGCTAGGTGCCGAAAGCGAATCAATTCTTTTTTCTTTTCTTATTTTTTTTTTCAAGGGACATAAGCATGAAAGCACACGGTACCTACAGGAAATAGCGTGGTAATATCTGAATCAGCGAATCGCAGCCTCACATTATAGGACCGGGATCCCGACTTATCTACAATGTCCTAGGTTAGAACCTGGGTGACACAACCTTGTTTCATGAAAATGCGGCCGAAAGAGGGGGGGAAATTGGAACAAAGAGAACAGAAGACCTAGGACCGAACCCTTACTCATCCTGACCCCTGTCATCGATTCGAACTGCCATGGAGTTTGTTGAGGCGATGAGAATGCAATCTTCACTTACTTTTCTTACGAAATCTCGGTTGATGAGATTGTGTTCCTTCTGATCTGTCAAGCTTCCTATTGCGCTTTCGTTACTCAAATCGCTTGTCCGAACCACATTTTGGCCCCATACTATTCTTTGTTGGCTACCTACCTACGTTAGCCACATAACCTACATGTGTACCAGGCCGCAGCATGCCAACTCGTTTTAAGTCCTCACACTTGCATTCAAGAATCACAACACAAAGAGGCTTCCATCTCTACCATGAGCTGCCACCACATGAGCACATAAAAAGTGGTAACTAGGACGGATGATTAGTCGAACTTGGGATATTCAAAAAGTACTACAGTGTTGCAATCATGCTTCACTGGTCCGCCAAGGGTTTGTGGCTACCACGAGTACCACTGACAGGGACATCAGCGGTGCTGAAATTGTTGCATCCTACAGGTAATCTGCTCCAAGTTCCTTCTCGTCATAACGCGGCCTGTACTGTGTTGCTGCTCAATCCAACCCAGCCTCTTTTTGCAGCTGAAGCCGGTTAAATTGATGTCAAAAATGAGCATGCTGTCATAAGTCCATAGTATCATCAGTCGGTAAACATGTCTACGTAGCATTGGGCGGGTTTCCACGATATCGTGCGGAGTGAATGCAATTCTCAAAAACCTATTGCCAATAGACTTTATTCTCGTTACCCTTGGCCGGAAAAGACCATTATTCATAAGCACAGTTATCAAGAGCTAAAGTATGACGCGATCTCCGCTCGGTGGCGGGCGAGCTGTGGTGGTAGGTCATACTCCTTCTTTCCTATAGCGAGCAAAGCGCCGAACCCCTCGAGAAGCACAGAATCATGGGCATCAGCCTCCAAAATCTCTAACTGGACATTGATTGTCTCATTTCTCTTGCGAATCGTCTCGGCGAACAGGATGCCCTGATCTCTCAACACCTCGTTCGCGCCCACTGTAACATAAAGTGCTCGGGTAGTTTGGGCCAAGCCATTCAGCCATTTTCGATCCGTGTCCAGTGGCAAAGCCCACTCGCCATGGCCACCTTTCAAGTCGTCTTGTGTTGGCTGTGTATGCAAAAGTTCCCGTGATGAAGTCTCAATATGTTCTCTAGAAAGCATATCAATGAATTGGTTCTCTGAGAAGGAACGCCCGTTGGTATTGCCCGACAACCAGGGCGACACCAGGAATGCACCAGCCAAAGGCTCCGGAAGGCGATTGGGGGCTGCCGAGTGTGCAAGATGTATCAGCAGCTGCGCCGTTAAATTACCTCCAGCAGAGTCTCCGCCAATGACAATACTGCTGGCAGGAATACCCGAGTCCATCAAGTGCCTAAGTGCCGATGTAGCTTGCATGAGTTGTGTTGGGTATCGTGCAGCTGGGCACAGTGTATACTGCAGAACAGCCACAGCGACTTCGTGGCCGCTTTCTCTTTCTACATATGCACGAAAGCACCATTCAAAGTGTCCCGGTGTGACTGGGGCGATATATCCGCCTCCTGGAAAGAACAAGACGTATCTGGAAGCCTTTTTGCGGTTGCCGACCCAAAGGAGCCATGAGTTGCCATCTGGCAGATGTTCTGCCATATGACTGAGCCGATCTAGAGCCAGTCGATCGCCTTCCTTGATGGCTGCCGCCCTCTTCTTGTCAATCCAGGCGCTGTAGGTGTCAAGAGGCAGGGGGCTCATGGCTTGGATCTGCCTCGGCGAGAAAGCACTGAGCCAGGTGCGAAGAAGGCCTGTTATGATGTACAGCTTTACGGGCAACTTTCGGCGCCAGGCAAGAAAGGCGCATCGAATGCAATTCAACAATGCACAGGGAAGAACTAGAAGTCGTCAGTCATCGTGAAGACGGACCAAACGCTCCAAGCCACATTTTCCGTTGCTGGTTGTTCCTGCTATCTTTGTTTATTTTGCCTTCACTCACATACGAGGGGCCATCTAAAGATTAGACCAGCCTTTTCAAATATATTCAAAGAGGGCTTCATGGCGTCTGCTCAAATGCATTTTTCTTTCGGCAATATGGGATAGTGTTTATCTTGATGAAAACATTCCATTTAAAAGCTTCGAGTTAAGTGATGAAGCTTAATCCAGATGCCGAACATGCCGCGGAAGCTTTGAGATGAACCCCCAATTATGGGATTTGCCGATGGATGACTTGGAGCTCTCCAACTTGGACCCGCATGCAACTACTGTGTATAACTGCTCCACGGGACTTACCCGACCTGGCACTATGACACTAGTTGCGTCCAAAATTTGAGTCGGGTTCATTCCGCGAGAAGACATCCCATTAGTTATCATTCAGTAGCTGATCTATAGGTGACCTGGATGATATCTGGCTTGGCCTGGCCACTCACTTGCGATGTTGTTCACGCAAATCGATTTGCTGATACTTCTGACCACGCCAACATGAAACTATCACGCGAAGGATTCACGATCGATGTCGCCGCTGCATTCGTGAGGCGAATTGTGTTCAACCCTGCACTCGCCGTGACTGCAGCTGTCGCCCAAACTATGATACATTTTATACAGGTATCATATAATGATGATTTTCTCCAGCAGACTCCCAAGTTTACTTGGCCATTGGCTTCGTCGGTTAGTCTCTGGGTACTCCTCAGTATTTTACTCTGGGCCAATGATTATTTGAACGATGGTTACGCAAACAATTGGGCAGCTGATCCTTTATGGGACTGGAGCAAGGAAATTGTCTTGATAACTGGTGCAAGCAGCGGTATTGGAGCGAGTATCGTCCAACATCTAATCCAGCGCAACCCTCGGGCGACCATTGTCATTCTTGACTATTCACCCATGAGCTGGACGCCTCCGCCAGTGTCTAAAATACATTTTTACCAGTGCGACCTCAGCCATTCCTCTGTGATCAAGGCTATCAGTGAAAAGATTCGCCAGGAAGTCGGTCATCCAACAGTCTTGGTCAACAATGCCGGCCTATCTCGCGGCTTTACTGTCATGGATGGCTCTTATGCAGATGTCGACGTCACCATACGAACAAATCTTCTCGCACCATTTCTCTTGACCAAGGAGTTCCTACCTTACCTTGTGCAGCATAACCATGGCCATATCATGAACATTAGTTCCATGAGCTCCATCATGCCACCGGCTGGAATCGCCGACTATGCCGCGACCAAGTCCGGAATCAATGCACTTCACCAGGTACGTTGGTTTGAATCCTCCGAGTTGAGGTGGAATTAATGTCTTTCTTTACCCAACAAAGGCTTTGCAACTAGAACTCAAAAACATTCATCACGCGCCTAGAGTACGCCTTAGCTTAGGCATCTTCAGCTTCATTCGCACCCCGTTGTTCAAAGGGGAAACAGGGCTCTCCAACTTCATGTACCCGGTATTGCATGTGGACTCTGTTGGTGAGACCCTTGTAGATATACTATTAAGTGGCCGCGGAAAGACTCTATACATGCCTGGCATGATGCGATACCTCCATTTGCTGGTGCGTATAATTATACCTGTGTCATCAAATCTGTATCGTCAGACTGACTGATTGTTCTTGGAGGGATCCCTACCTGAATGGCTATTCAGAGTCCTGAGAGAGTCGTCCCATGATCTACGCGTTGATTTCAAGGGCCGACAAAAGATTGATCCGGGAACTGGTGGACTAGTTGCAAACTGATATTCTCGGTCACAAATTTACATATAGCCAATAGTCCTACCGTTGGCGTTTCCTAGCATGCCTATTTAGCATGTCTTTATTGATTTCTAACGGCTATAGGACGCTGCAACCGTTGCCATTGATCACTCCTCCATTTCCTTCATTGTGACCAATGTCGTAGCAGACACCAAAAGATCTGAGATAAGCTTGATTAAGTGACTTTTCTTTTCTTTTTCCTTTTTTTCAGCTCAGATAAATAATTGTGTGACCAAATCCATCCGGGAAAAACATGGGCTCTAGTGTTATTCAGGTACTTGAAGGAGCGGAGAACAGTCCATTGGCGAATGCTTCGCTGTCGGTCGTCTTCAAAGTCGAGATACAACTGTTGATCACATGTGTCCGCGGAAATTGAAATAACGCCACTTCTGTGTACATGGGCGTCTTTGTGGAAGCAGTGGGAGTTATCTTGGACGGCTAAGTAAACGATCGACGTTTGCGGGAACGACCCGTCTCTCGGTTGCGATCCGACCGCGACGAGCCAAATACCTACCTAGGTACCTGAGAGCCATGGGTCTCGCATGCCAAGTGCCTCGGTTGATAATGGGATCTGCGAGTATCGTGAGCGAAAGTTATGACATTGGGATAAATACATAGACGTCAATCGGGGACCCTGCTGTTTTCTGTACTCAAGCTTCCTGCACCAAGGTCAATACGAGACCGTCAACATGGTTCCAGAGTCATCAAAAATTACAACATGCAGCAAGTTTGCATGTGTCGGCACGGGATTCTCGGCCATTGGCTTGGGTGCGACACTAAAGCGCTGGTATGGAATCACAGACATTCACTTCTTTGAGCGTCATAGCGAACTGGGAGGCACATGGCATATCAATCAATACCCAGGCAAGTTGAGAGCACTACTCAAATGTTGAAAGGGGAAGAAAAAACAAATCTCGCAAGGAAAAGCTAAGCGTACGATCTAATCAGTTTTTCTTAGGCTGTGCTTGCGATGTTCCTAGTGTATTGTACAGCTTCTCATTTGAACCGAACCCGAACTGGACACGCATATTACCCAGCAACACCGAGCTCAAGGCCTATCTGGTACATGTCGCGACCAAGTACGAGCTTGTACAGAAAATGAGATTTTGTGTCAACGTCGAAGCGTGTGAGTGGATCGAAGAGCGTAGCGTCTGGAGGATGCGGGTATTCGACTACAACACCAAGGAGACCTTCTACCACGAATCCCAATTCTTGTTCTCGGCCTCGGGACAGCTGGTCACACCCCGTGAAATCGACATTCCCGGAAAGGACAGATTTGACGGTCCTTTGTTCCACTCAGGACGTTGGCGGACGGATGTCGACCTCACGGGAAAGAAGGTCGTGGTCATCGGCAATGGCTGCACCGCCGCCCAGATTGTACCCAACATTGTCAAAAAGACGGCACACACGACGCAGATTGTCCGCAGCAAGCATTGGATCATGCCACCTATTGACGCTTCCATTCCGGATTGGACTCGCTTCATCCTGCGTTGGGTCCCGGGTGCGATGCAATTGTTTCGCTTTGTGGTTTTTCTCATCGCAGAAAAGGAACTTCAAGGTCTCCCAATGACCAAGGCCGCTGCCCGATACCGACAGAAGAGGCGCGCTCTCAGCGAAGCATACATGCGTGGGAAAGCACCTCCAAAGTATCACGGTATTCTGATTCCCGACTTTGAGTATGGCTGCAAGCGACGTATCTTCGACTCTGGCTATTTGGACAGCCTCCACGAAGAGAACCTGACTCTGACCAACAGTCCTGCCCTGGAGATTGTTTCTAAGGGCATACGGACTAAGGACGGTCTGGTTGAAGCTGACGTTATTGTATTGGCTAACGGGTTTGTCACGAACCACTTTTTGGACCAAATGGACATCAAGGGACGTGGAGGAAAGACGGTAGGCGAGCATTGGCGCGAGATGGGTGGTCCCACGTCCTACAACTCTTCTGTGCTGAGTGGATTCCCCAACTTCTTCATCCTTCTGGGTCCCAATGCCGCCACAGGTCATACCTCTGCCCTCATGGCGGCCGAAAACTCAATCAACTTCGCTCTGCGCGTGATCAAGCCCGTCTTGGAAGGCCAAGCCACCGTGGCTGATCTCAAACCGCAGGCCGAGGCTGAATACACAGAGAGACTTCAAAAAGACCTCGAGAAGACTGTCTGGAACTCGGGGTGTCAGAGCTGGTATATCAGAGCCAATGGCGGTAAACCGTGGAACGCAATGAGCTATCCTTGGACCCAAAGCTACTTTTGGTTCCGAAGTCGGTTCCCGACGTGGTCTGATTGGCGGTATACTGTAAGTGACAAGACAATAGAGCGACCGAGATGGAATTTTATTGTTTCTAACATTCATGCAGGGTGAGGCGGAGTTGCGAAAGGAAGGGTTAGGACATGGTTATCTTGTAGCTTGGGTGGTCATAGGTGCAGTGGCTTGGTGGTCTTGGGGCCAGAACTTTGACTATGAAGTTGCTGCGAAACATCTTCAAACATTTATTTCTTAGGCTTTTGGTGCATGAAAGTCATACAAGGCATGGCAATGTTATACGGGCCAGAGGAAACAATCGTTTGGGAATGATATTCTAAAGAAAGTTTTATTGCATCAGATCAAAGAATTCTCTTTTAGTTAAATCACTTATACTATCTTCAAAGAATTTAGTAAAAGATCACAAGATGTATTTTGATCTAAAATTGGCTTATATTGCAAGCTTGCACTTTCCCCTTTCCTTTCCAACCAAAATCGAGAGGTTTAGTCCCATGACAAAGTATTGATAATAAGTCATTCTTATTGTTTTCGGTAAACACAGAGGTTGCAAATTCGTGTGGCATGTATACACTGGAATAATATACAATCTATTGACTTGTAACATCAAAACAAATCTCGTCCCATTCAATCGCGACCTCTAAAATACTCCTTTAATAAGATCTGTGAAATCTTCGTTTTGTTTCGAGTCATCATTGTCTCTGACTGCTTTGGCATCTTCAAGAACCCCCAGCTTGGTAGCCTCCTCGATGATCAGTTTTTTGTACTCCTCACTTCGAATTTGAGGCTTGACGGGAAAGGGCTCATGAATGGCATCATGGTTGAGCAGGCGCGAATCATATTTCCCACTCTGCTCAGAAGTTAGCAGACTTCATAGGGGCAGTATTTCTGTTCATGATAAAAGACTTACTGCCTCAAAATCAATGCATTGCACTAGGCGCGCAATGTTGATAAACAAGCTTCTCTGTGCCAAGCGGTAGCCGACGCAGATTCGCCGACCACCACCGAATTGCCACAGACCATGGGCGATATCAGTCTCATGGCCGTCCATCCATCGCTCGGGTTTGAATACGTCGGGATCCTCGCACTCATTGCAGACAGCAACCTCGTTGATGACGAATCCAACGCCAGCAGGGAAGAAATAACCCTCAAATTCAAGGTCATTGCTCAACGTGTGGTCCGGAGTAAGAATGAAAATGGGTCGCCACCGCAGAATCTCCTTGGCCATGGCGCAGATGTATCGCAAGGACTCCATGTCCTCTAACCGTGGCAGCCTGGCGTCAGCACCAACGCCACAAACTTGATCGATCTCAGCCCGGGCCTTGCGAAAGGGCTCCGGGTACTCGAGCGACGCCATAACCATGATTTTGAGGGCCTCGCGGGTGGTATCGCTGCCAGCTTCTATCAGCTGCATTGCGACATACATGGAGTCCTCGTCGTCGCCCTTGTATTTGGTGTCGGGATGCAGCAGCGTATCACGCAGGAAGGATGGAGGCGCGGTACCAGCCTCGACCTGCTTGCGGGCAGGCTCGTACCATGAATTATAGACGTTGTAGTTCCATTGGCCCAGTTTCTCCCATTGAGGTGCCCAAAAGTGGAGGAATTTGGGCAATTTGACGACATCTGGAAACCAGTCAACCAAGCTTGATCCGATGCTGCCAACGAAAAATGTGACACAGTTTTGTAGGTCACTGAGCTCCTTGGTCGACTTGACTAGCCGGTCGCCAAGGGCGATGCGGTGGATGACGGAGTTGGCGTAACGATAGTGGTGCTTATACCACATCTCTGGCTTGACAACGTATTCTGCCATCATCTGTGCGCTCTCCTCTTCCTGCCAGGCACCGTATTGTTTGAGTGCTGTCCCGCTCAAGAGACTGTGCATGACACGACGTCGCTCGGTCCAAGTCTCCTGGGGCAAGATGAGGGACCTTCGATCATGGCTCACAATACCGCTGGATATGGGCATCGGAGATCTCGTGTTTGTGATACTGCTCTTCTTTGCAATAATTTCAGATACCACGCGATTGCTGTTGAGAAAAACCCAAGTCTTTTGGCCTAGATGGAGAGTTGTCATCTCTCCGTACTGTGTTGGCATGTCTCTCAGCTGGTGACATTGAATTAGCATCGCAATGTCACTTGTCAAGAAGTCTCGTATGATGGTTATGCTTACCAATTTGTGATTGGGGTCATTGCGACCGGCCCTCATGGCTCCCAAGTTTCCCAGGATTGGCATGCCCTTCGGGCCTGGCGGAAGACGTGGCTGTTGGCCATTTCGCCCTCTCCGGGTTCCAATAGGTCTGAATATGTGTTGGATTAGAGAAAATATGATGGTAAGTAGAAAGATTACTCCCGCAAGGAAAGAAAGGACGGGACATTGTTCGTGTAAGGTAACAGCGTGATCTATCAGGAACGCCAACATCTTGTCAATCGATACAAAATAGGGGAGTTCAGGACAATGAAGACATTGGAGAGGCCAAAGAATAAGAATGCAACAGCAACGCGATATTCAAAGGGCGACAATTTAACAGGTCCATGTCAAAAGTATCAATGGGTCACGGGAAGTTTACGAGCTTGAATTCATATTACCAGTACTTAGGCCGCCGGGGATCTAGATAGCATCCTTGGCGACCAGCCGCTATAGCGTATGGAGAAGCCGGAATCATCCCGGTGCACTCACGAGTCAATTTTGGGGAAAGCCTCCAGCGCAATACACAGGTACGTAAGCAGGAGAGCCACCAGACTACATATGTAGTGACTGGTCATTTTTCCAAAGAGGCGCGATGATGATCTAACGAATTGGGTACTGAATGCCTCGATTTGAACTGTGTGGCCCCTGGACTCACTAGGTTACATACTATGTACCTACGTAGGCCTGGCTCTCTAGAGGTGTTCGGGACACACCCGAGAATGGACACACTTCTACAATGTACATACTTCGGACCCCCCTCAGTGGTCCAGGTAGTGCCCTAGTTGCTCCCTAGCCTTTTTCGCATCATCGTTCTCTTCTAGCCCGAACTCTGGCTTATAAGTCTGTGCTCCAATTTCATGTCCTTGAGGCAGGAAAGTGTGCTCAGAGGCATGTTTTTGCAGTAGGCGGGTCGCATTGGCATTCAGTTGCTGCGGTCCAATTTTTCCGCCCTCCGTGCTTCTGACGAAATTGCTATACTGTAATAAGCCGGCATAGATCCCGAGCTTGGGCGCGTACGGAAAGTCGCTCCCGTAGACAATGTTTGACGATGGGGCGGTGGCCAGAAGAGCCTTGAGTTGTGCTTCCCCAGTCGACAATGCCAGATCGTACCAAAAGCGGTTTGCTGCTGAATTGCTGATTTTTCTTCATTAGTACAAAGCATCAATTATGTGTATATATTTCGGGGGCCCACGTACGCCTGGAGCATGTTGACCTTGGATTGCGCCGCAATGGTAGGATTGACGAGACAACCTATGCCACGCTGTGCGAGCATCGGAAACGCACCACCGGCGTGGCTCAGAATGACATCGATTTTAGCACATTCCGTCATGATGCCTGAGACGAGTAGAGACATAGCCGCCCGTGTGGTTGCGAGAGGGTAGTCGATCGCTGGCTGAGGAAGAAAATTGCCAATCTTCTCCGGTTTGATCTGCAAATGGCTGGGATGGAGGAAGACGAGCGCCGAATGCCTGTTCAGCTCATCCCAAATAGGCCTGAATGCATCGTCGCCAGCCAATCTGTCGCCGTATGATGACATGATGACCACTCCATTGGCCTTCTGTCCGGTTTCAAATACGTGCTTGATCTCCAAGAGAGCCCCCTCAATGTCGTTGAAGTCGGGAAGACTGGCAAAGAATCCAAATCTTCCCGGTCGCTGTTCGCAAATGGCCGAAACCTCGTCGTTCAGCGTTCTTGCAAGATGCCTTCCTTCCTTGGTAGGCCCCAAGATTGCAGGCCCTGGAGCTGTAACGGAGAGGACAGAGAATGATGCACCGATTGTATCACTGAAGCGCACGCATTCCTCCAGTGTCCAGCTGGGGGTTGCCCATCCCGAGGGGTCACCACCGCTCTCGTCGAGAGCCTTGAGGTAACTCGGCGTCAAAACATGAATACTATGATTATGAAGAATTAGTCTCATCACTGGCACTTCGGGGTCCAGGGCACGTTTTATTACTGAGTATCAATGCGAGAAGCACTGGCGTTCCTTGAAAGCAAGCGGGCAGCGCCCCCGGCAACGTGCTCGAGAATCATGATCTGCGATGAGAAGAGATATAGTTAGTCGAATGCCAAGGAAATGGGTGTGCCAAGAAGAGTTTTCGTGCGAGTGTATGCAAGGGATGTCTTTGGGGAGGGAGATTCACAATAAAGCTCAACACCGTGTTAAGTATAGCCATACTTGTGTGTACGTATATGGAGTTTATCAGCAGCAAGTGGATGACGTATAAAACTTGTTTGCACCAGAATGTTGATCAGATACCTAACAAAAGATTCGCTATTGCAATTCACACAGCGGGGCTTGAAGCACTGATTGCTGCTAGCTTCAATAAGACACTACGTAGCGGGCAAACGGCGGCCGTGCCATGAAAGAGAGTTCAGTCATGTAAAGTCTAGGTCGTTCGGGATGTTTCCGGTCTACTGTATTGACCCCTAGGAATAGGCCGGGCTGCCTAAGGGAAGCCCGGAAGCATTCCGTGGGTCCGTCAATCCCACAAGGATAGGCCCACACGATGTGAGAAGCAGTGTGTTCACGGGCTAGAGCGACTTTGATGGAAACTCGACCATCTCGTTGCCATATCGTCAATCAAGTGCTATGTAGAAACACTGGACTGCTAAACACTATATTGCCTAGGTTGGTGGGTAGGTACCAACGTAGACTGAACATTGAAGCTTCAGCAGCAAAAGCACGGGCCCCTTCCTGGAGCTCATAGCGACAGACAATCGAATCTCGTGACAAAGCCATGTCCGAGAAGCGTCAGCCTCGTCGCAAGACGCCGTTAGCTTGTCAATCCTGTCGAAATCGCAGAACAAAATGCGATGGTTCTATGCCTGTCTGTCAGGCCTGTCAACGACGAGGTCTTGACATCTCGCAGTGTGTCTACACGATCGAGAATGCGCGAACCGCCAATAGGGACTCGTGAGAATAAGAGACACTCTTGCCGTTCAGACCATGACGTACAGAACTAATGGCCCGTATAGTTACATTCAATCCCTGCATGACCGTATTCGTGCTCTGGAGCAGACTATAGAGCGAAACGGAATCGGTGGCTCGCCGGCGGCGAATGCAGCAGTAGAAGATCCGGCGCCCTCCAGAGCAGCTGAGGCGGGTAGCTTCCGTGATCCACCGACCCCTATCGTAGGGACGGTCACGGAATGCTACCGCCCAGTTCAACATCGTGCCACCGAAATCGTTTCACCAGACTCTCTAGAATCAGGGTCCACTGGCGTAGAAAATGGAGTTACTGCCATGGGCACCCTCGACCACGACGGAGACATTTCAGGCGTGGTAGAAGATTCGGAGCATTTCTACGGTAGCTCTTCGGCCGCCTCATTCATGAGACAAGCTGTGGAGTCTGCCAACAGCCCGGAATTCTCACCAATTGGTGCAAATGCTTCAACCGGGGATACTTCGACTCGCCAGAGCCAGACGCAAACAAGAGGGCGCAGCCTCGGCTTCATGGATCGTGCGTATTCTGAGAACTACAGTCTTCCCCCGCGGTCACTCGCGGATCACCTACTCAGCCGCTTCTGGGAGAAGGTCTACTATCTTTATCCCGTTTTTCATAAACCAACCTTTGAAGACGCCTATCGACATCTTTGGGAGCCGCAGAGAGACGAAAGCAACCCATCGGGAAGCTTTCCCAACGTTGGCCTCGGCAGCCCTCCAAATGGCAATGCTCATACAATGCTGTTCCAGTGTGCCTTGAATATCATATTTGCCATTGGTGTTTCATTCTCGGATATTCCGCCAGCCGAGAAAGAGGCTGCCGCGAGAACCTTCTTCCTGAGGGCTAAATCCTTCATCGGTCTGGATATGTTGGACATTAACAATATTGGATTGGCCCAGGTCATGTTGCTAGTGACCATCTTCCTGCAGAGCACGCCGTTCCCAAGTCGCTGTTGGCACGCAATCGGCATAGCATGCCGAGTCGCCCAGGGGTTGGGCCTGCACACGTATAAGCCTCGAAGGGGCGAAAGCCAGCTTGAAATTGAAATCAGCCGACGAACTTGGCAGGGCTGTGTCATCCTCGACATGTATGTTGCAAAGGATACTTATATACCACTTCTTTTTCTCCATGTCTACTAATACTAGACACGAGTATACTCCTCGTGAGTGCTAACGTGTATGGACAGGACTGTAAGCATGACACTTGGACGTCCTGCAATGACGACTCACCTACCAGAATACCCAGCCTCCGTGAGCTACCCAGAAACCAGCACGGAAATGTCCATGTCTGTTCAAGATCATGAGGAATTCAAAATGATATTTTTCGTCGAGTATTATCGCTTGTGCCATCTTCTTAGAGACATTTTGGGGCAGGTCTATCAAGGCGGTAATTACGGCCCAATGGCTGATCCAGCGCCACCAGGTAAGTATGCCGACGATCTCACTGCCATCCTCCAGTTAGAACGCAGACTGCTTGTGTACGAGGAGTCCTTGCCTCCAATCTTGTCATGGCAACGGCCCTTGGACCTGAACCAAGTCTCGCCTACCTTGAAAGCGACTACTGAAACGCAACGACTGGTCCTGCACAGAAGGTGAATCCCTCGACCCATCATGCCTACAGAACTTGACTCACCTCTTTCCAGGTTTCTATATTTGCGAATATTGTTGTGGCGCCCCGTGTTTACGCAGTTCTCTTCCAGGTTTGAGAAGCACCGTCAAGCAAAAGACTGTGTCTTGTGCTAACCATGGAACCCAGTAACAAGCAGGGCCCAGTCCTCACATCGCTCTATAAATCCTTTGCATTACAATGTGCCAAGAATTGTGTTCAGTCGTCCATTGACCTTATCCGAGTGGTTCATCAGACTCATCGCAATGTTGCGACTGAGTGGTGGTGGGATTCCCTTTGTAAGTGCTCGAACCTTGTCTACATGGTAGCATCGGTGGATGCCAAGCTAAGCCAGTCCAAGATGCATGTACTTCTGGGCTCGTCCTCGTCTTGAACCAATTATATCCGGAGTTGAGAGATTGTTTTGACTGTTCTGTCATTCAAGAGCATTGGAAGTATTGTGAAATAGTCCTCGATCATTTGTCAGGCAACAGTATCTCTGTTCGGAGATCTCTGGAGCTGCTCAGGCGGCTCCACGATCGAATCATGCCAAATGTGACTGGTACGGCAACACATTTTCCTTTTTTTTTTTTCCCCCCTCCCTTCGATTGTGTATTGATCCGGGCTGCTAGGTACGGCAATAGAATCCAGAAACGCAAACCCGTCCGCGCATGCGGACATAGCATCTGCCGATCCTAACCCGTCGCGATTTCTCGAACCAACAATTGGCGAGCTTGTCGAAACATTGCCGTTTCAAATGATGAACGATGCAGAGATGTCAGACATGGCATTTGACTGGAATCAATGCTTGGACGTCTTTGACAGTACTGAGAACTTTTTGATATCAGGATGACCAAATGAAAATAAAGAAAGCAGCATCTTGAGGCCGACTTGGCTTGTTAAAGGGAGGGGGGAATCCGGATCCATGGCTGGAGTTGTACAGTGAGCCCAGGCAGATCCATCCAGACTTGGCCTGGAGATCTAGCGCCTCTATCAATCGACACTCAAGAGACTTCCATTATGCATGCTCATCATGCAAGGACAAGTAAAGAATCGTCATTACTGGTCTTAAATGGTTTATTACTGGCCCCAAATCAAAAGTGCAGAATGAGACCAATAATTCATTCAACCTGCAAAGATATTAACCTCGGAGGGCACTATTACCAAGGAATAAGTTTGTTCCTGTACTTAATTGACTAAGCTTTGAAAGATTCCCTTGCGTGTTTTAAGATTTAAATGCGGTATAAAATAAATGTATTAAGACAGGACGGAACTAAAACACGGGAAACTATTAGGTAAATATATAGACTATACACTCGACTGGGAGTGCTAAAGGATAATTAAGATGCGAACAGGCAGATGGAAAATAAAAGCAAAAATTATGCTACCCGAAAAATCAAATCAATGACCAATCAGACAAGTACTCTGTTGCACTAGCCGCGAATCGAACGCGGGGCCCATCGATGGCAACGATGGATTTTACCACTAAACCACTAGTGCTGTATAAATTTCAGGATGCTTATTGAAGTATATATTTGTTATACGCATTGCTCCAGCGATATCCTATACTTGCTTTCTGGAAATACTTTGTGCGACTTATTACTGCAAACAGAAGTACGTAACACTTTCGTTCTGCTATACCACAAGTTCGCTTAAAATACAGAGATAACCACCCTATTGAAGAGACTGCGTTCGATTCAGAAATTCTCTACGGCGGTCTCGGATAATCCAATTAGTCTCGCAGGCCCTACGTAAAAAGTAACGTGCTCTGTACTATGTATTCACAAGCGAATTGTCGCCGACAAGGACCACAAGCATAATAGCAGCTCGTCTAAGCACAAGAGCAATGGGAAGTAGTCACATAGAGACATGAAACGTTACAAAAACTAACATCAGAAAAATTATATTGTTGAATATTTGTTGTATCTGGCCACTGCGCCAGCAGACCAAACTGTGAAGCTCCACACTGGTAGCCAGGCGAACAGAGTGGATATAGCAGATACGGCGCAATAACATTTTTTTGGGACGTAAATGACGCATCTGTTCTGCTACTACATAAGATTGTTCTAGTGCTATTGTAATAGTTGTCAGCCAGCAATAACCATCAGTTTCAAGTTATTTCATCTTCCCATTTCTAAGGAGCAACCGATCAATTATTTCATCGAGGACGTGAAAATTGTAGGTGCAGATGTCGACGACGGAGAGACGGCAAATAATGATATTGAACCTATCGTGCGCGCAGCAGATGCCATATATGATTGGGTCGAGTATCATGATATTCAGGCAGACACGTTGCGCGCCCGTTCGTGTTTATTCTCAGCCCAGCGCAATGTATAATTACCCTCAAGGCTGCGTGTTATATGGTCTATAATCGTTTTTAATTTGGAGAGTATTGGTGATCCTTAGTATTCAATAGGAATTGCAGTAGTGATTGACCGATAAGCAGGTGAATGGTGATATATCACATGCTTATTTCTTCTATCTACTCGGGCGGTGAAGGCTGCACTTATGTACTTGCTGTGGATCTACAGCCGTATTTCTTGTCACAATTATGTTTACGATAACTACGACAACTTTATTTGCGTCGCCAATGCCAGCATAGTAACGGCACCGCCGCAATCAAGATGGACGGCGAGGTCAAAATCATCAAGATCTGCTATAGAGATATGGGGAGAAACGCCGTGCGGAACATAGTAATGCGCCATAGTGTTAGAATCAAACACATCACTATAGCTTCTTCGTGTCCATTTTGCTCAATGTGGCGTGGGAGCAGAAGTACGGCTACCACTACCTCCCTCATCGGCCACTGCTGTCCTAGTCGCGGGAGCAGGACTGGCATGCCTCTAGGCAGTAAGACCGGGACCAATAAATGGGAGCCAGTGTCAATAGAAGAACAATTGTAGAATTTTGAAGGGCCGCATAGCATGTCTCACTCTACTCTGAGTATATTGTGATTTTGGTTCTCCCCACATTACTTAGTCACATTTTACACACTCGTTGTGTCAGTGGACAGGAGCTACGACGCCATCCTACGGTCGTGCAACGGTCGATCATGACTACCTTACGTTGCAGCTAATGCTTATTCATTCGGAGTATTTGTTTGCCCGGCGTATGGCTCATCGGAGACATATTGGCTGTGCCGCCAAGGGTGGTAACCCTCGGGCCCGACGACGTGTCGCCAAGCTTATGACTTACAAAGGCGGATAAATGTTAACTTTCTGCTGTGATGTGAAAAAAAAAAAAAAAAAAAAAAAAAAAAAAGAAATATCTCGGGATCGGCTCAATAGTGAAGTGTCGCAAGGCAGATCCATACATGTAGCTGATGGAGCGGTGTCATTGCCCCATGCAATTGGCGTATCGGCAAGCTTGACTATGTAACTTGATAAACAGAACTTGATGTATTACGCCGAAATTCGAAATGGACGACATATATATAGCGTGTTATGTATAACTATCTCAACCTGCTTCACATACGTTAACTCTAGTCTGCAGTTGTGACACACGATGGCAAACTCGCAACACCCACAGACTCGCATCCCAACCCTGTCGAAGTCGGTCTTGGTAGCTGGCGCAAATGGATTCATTGGCTTTGCGGTGTGCCGTGCTTTCGTTCGAGCGGGTTGGCACACGTATGGACTGGTCCGTCGACCCGAATCCACCATGAGTCTTGCTGCAGAAGAAGTCATACCCATCATCGGCTCCATCTCTCATGCTGCTTCTTTCATCGAAGACTTGCACAGGCACACCAAGGCCCTTGATGTCATCATCTTATGCACTGATATCATGCCTGGATCTGGCGCACCATCCCAGGACATTATACACGTCTTGAAGAAGCTGGCAGCTGTTTCAAAGGATAGTTCGGTGAAGCCACTTGTCATCTGGACCTCAGGTAGTAAGGACTATGGATTTACAGGTCTGCATGGTTCAAAAGACCTTGTACCACATACAGAAGAGTCTTTGTTACAACCACTCGAGATATTGAAAGCGAAGACTTATGCTTCATTGGATGTATTCAACTATCCGGATCTTTTCGATGCCGTGCTGTTGAGGCCCAGCCCACTCTTTGGATACAGCGGTAGTTTCTACGGAGCTGTTCTGGATTTTGCCGCAGCAGCGGAACCCGCTCACCAGCTTTGCATCCCGTCCAGCCTTGATACCATCATCCACGGATGCCACGTGGACGACTGTGCTGAAGCATACGTATCCATAGCTGAACATGACGCCCGACCCGCCGTAGCTGGGGAGTGTTTCAATATATCTGCGCACCGTTACGAGACACTCGCAGAAATTGGAGCTGCACTGGCGGACGAATACGGACTGAGTGGCGTCAAGTCAGTCCCAGCCGAGTCTGATATAGCATCAGGCTTTGTTTTCGGTCTCAGCCAGTGGGTGGCGAGCGACAAGCTTAGAAAGCTTACAGGATGGACGGACAAGCGGAAGCTGTTCTCGGAGAACATTCACGTGTACCGTGAGTCCTATGAAGTAGCAGTTCAAAGGAACGATGAGGGTGTTTTGAGAATCAAGGCACTCCTAGCCGCAATCGGCGGTGAAGCTAGAAAAGTGGACAGTGGTATACTATAATTCCACAGGCTAACGGATAACACTAGACCAACGAAGTCTCTAGGCTGCAGATCTATTCATGATTCCATATTCCGAATATTCCAAATTTAGAAGTTGTCATCAGTCAGAGTCATGCCCAATGCAATTTATCGTTTCTCCGATTTTAAGGTCAGCAACACATGGACTATATTCTTGTATAGAAACTTTCTTTGATCTGCAACAGCTTACGTGGACTGAACGTCCAAGGAACGAATGACAATAAAGACCAGGAACCACACAGTATCCCGCCAGGTGTATCACTTTCGCGCGAAGCTTCAGATTACATTACTGGCTTAGACCCGGCCGCTCGGACATACGTATGCCTGCAATCTAGGATGTGAAAATATGCTCCTGATTTACTTCATACATGTATATATTTTTATGAACTGATTGATGCAAGGGAAAGACAGGCGGTTATGTACCATCTATAGAATTACACCTAAACAAGAAACACCACAATATCTAGATCATTTCTGGCCGTCGGATTGGGCGGCATATACCTGGTTGGGGAATGAATGTTGTTTGGTCCTAGTCAAAGTTGATCCTCCAAAGTTCCCTGTCGCATCCTGCTGTGAAGTCGCTTCGTGTATGCATCACCAGGACATTGTCGCTCACCAGCAAGTCACCCTTCTCCCAGGCGTGATAGTAAGCAACTCGACGGTCGTGCAAGAGATCCGTCAAGACATTACAGATCGTCGTGCTGTCCTTGTTGCCAGCCTCGCTAGCATTCTCAATCTCGACATTGGTGGCTTCAAACTTGGTCTTGGACTGTGGCCATGGCTCGTGGAAACGCAGGCATGGGCTACCAGTGGCAGGGTGGTCAACCACCACGGGCAAGCCACGCAGTACAGTGGCGTTGAAGGATGATGTCGAGACGGACCATGTAAGCCTGCGCAAGTCCTGGACCTGCAAATCTTGAGGGAGATACTTGAACATCATAGTTGAAGAAGAAAAGAGCGTAAATCCAGTGTCCTTGGGTGAAGTCGTGACTGATGTGAAAAACTGGAAGCTGTGATTTAAGTCAGTACAGGGTGGAAACATGGTAAAAGTATAAAAAAAAAAGAAAAAGAAGAAGAAAAGTCCACAATGACGTACCCAGGTGGCGTAGATACGATTTCTTCGGTACCATCCTCTTTTGTTCTCTTCTCCGTCTTGAAGAGGCCATCATAGTGAAATGGCATCCATTCAGCAGAGAGAACATTGTTCAGCCCGCGCGTCTCGGCTCCTCTATCCTTCACCTCCAGAACGAGACCAAACTTCCAGCCAGTTGGCGAACCGAGGTCGTGCGATTTCTTGATGAAAAGCTCGCGGTCCCTTGTCTTGGCAAAATCGCGCAGGATCACTGGAGAGTTGCGTTGCGCAAGCGATCTGACTTTGGCACCATCAATGTCTTCAATGGACAAGGCACCAGCACCCTTTGCTGGCCGAATGAGAAGACCAGCCGGGTACAACGGGTCGCATTCGATGCCGCCTGCTTCGCCTGCCCAGGCCAAGAGGTCGGTCTTTTCTCTGTAGAAACTGGGCCTGCCATCCTGGTAAACGAGTTCAAACTTGTCGTCGGCATCAAATACGGCGTGGTGGCCACTCGTCACAGTTCCGTCCAACCGGAATGCTACAGTGCAATGCCATGGTGTGGTAAATGGGGTGTCTGTTGGCAATGGGCTGACTGAGAGTTTGTTCCTGCCAGTAGACGGGTGAATGGAGAGCCTGAGCCGATCGGAAAAGGTAGCCTTCACGGCACGTGCAAAGGCCTGTTGTACCGAGTGTCAGTTTGGTGGTGGAAAGAGTCAAACAAAAGGAGGTGGGAAGAGGAAGAGGATGTGGACGTGTTCAGCTTAACTTACGTCACCCCTGAACAGCATTTGCTTGGCGACATACTCGATGCCCTTCTTGAATTGCGACTTGGTGCGCGAGTTTCCGACGGGGTAAACATCTTGAAGATCTGTTGACAAGAACTTGATGTATCCTCGATACGTCAGGCAGGTGTCCTCGTCGTCCTTGATCTTCAGGGATGCGTCAAAGTCGGGGTTGCTAAACTTTGACAAAAGTGCATGTCTGAAGTTGGTGGCATTGGACACATAGGTGATTTGATCAAGCTCATTGGGCACACCGATGTGGACGAGATCCTGCAACCGTGAGAAGTTAATGTGTTTGAAGCCCTTTCGAATGCTCATGGCCCTCAACGCCTCGCCATAAGCCCAGACGTCACTGTCTCGCACACCCAAAAGGTCTTTTTTCGCATGTCAGTGCAAGAACAGGATGGAAGATGGGTCGTATGGAGCTTACCATTATACACGAGACCGTCGGAGATAATCATGAGCGTGGCGCCAGGGCTGTACACGTCTTCGATGGCGGAGCACAGCCCGTTCAAATGTGCCAACGCAAACTCTTCAGCCTTGTCGGGCAACCGACCGAGGACCTTTGTGCTGGTGTTGGGAGATTTGAAGGGAAAGGCCGGCAAGCACATCTGGATGGCTTGGCCTTCGACAACCTTTGAGTAGATCTGGTCGAGGAAACTTGCGTCTTGGTCAGACTCTGATTCCTCTGGATCGCTGCGTCTCTTGGGCAGGGAATATCTATCTATTATTTCCAGAATTTGCGCAGCCGTCTTGACGTGAGAGGAATCGAGATGCAGTGGTGTCGTTTTCGGATCCTGGCTGGCCAGACATTCGGCCGCCGTGGTAGTCAGTGTACTGATAGACATGATGGCTGTTTCGTGTTCTGAGCTGTGCGTGGTTTCCTTTCACTCTCTCTTTCACACACACACACACTCTCTCTCTCTATCTCTGGTTGTATTTATCAAAGACAGTCTCCGAATGAAAGGTGTTGGCGTGCCCAGTCTACGACTAATACTTTAGCCTGTACCGGTTGTGATGAGGTGCAGTGCCGAGCAATGTGTTATATGATGGTTGGTAGAGTTTAGAATGGATGTGACGTTATTGCTCCAAGTTCTCTAGAGTTCTTTGTCGACGGGATCGAAATTCTTGTTAATAATATACTCATACGCAACTGTCAATCCCGTGCCTTTGTCACTTACCGGGACCACTTCAGGAAATTTGCCTTCTTTGGGTCCCGAATTCCCTGGTTGTGTTGTCTCGGCCGACCTAGCCCTGGGCATGCCTATCTTCATCGCATCGGATGGGTGGCGCGGCCAGGGTCTGGAGGCAAGAGTATGCATCGTACGCACACCGGCGAGTCCCATTGAGTGACATGTTTCCGAAGCAACGTTGAATCCGGCATGGTTGAGCGGAAACAAAGCCGCTCTCGGGATAAGTCACTATCATCTAGCCATCATGAATGCCGTTGTCTGCCAGGGTTGCGGCCATGCACGTTGACACCATTCGGGATCTCGATGCCGCAAAAACAAAGCTTCGCTAGACATCGCCAGGGTGACGGATCCTACACACTGACTCGTTTTCATTCGATGATGGCCTTGACATTCGGTAACATGGTCACATTTGAGGATATGTGCCAAGCTTCGGGAGCCCACATGTCCCGCGCCCTGGTGGGTAACAATGGATGCTTGTACGATAAAGCCTGTTATTAACGCATGCTATCAGGTCCTGCATCTATCTGGAACAGTTTTAGGATGATTCCAGGCCTTTGGGGGGGAAAAGAACATCCGATAATCGTGCCTCTGTGGCTTCCGCTCACTTGACAAGAACTTGAAGATATGACGCGGGTTTGAGTTGCCATCCTTGGCTTTTCTCCATAGTCGCCTCCAGCTTAGCTTGATAGTTGGAAAACCCCCCGGAAAACCTAATGCAGGTACGGTTTAAATGCATCGGATCGACCGAAAATATGCCGCGCCAAGTATCATGATCCGGAGCTGGTTAGTAGTGTGCGGCGAGGGCGAAGCGATAAAGAAATGTGTGGAGGGTGAGCAGCACGTGGCATGCGTATTAGGCTGTTTGTTCATAATATGAAGTAGACATAACTTCAAGCAAAGGACGCAGAGTGTAGACTGACATTCGCAGCTCCATGTCTAGATTTTCACCTATCTAAACCTCTACACTCATCGCCTGATCACAGACCTTGAATACACCACAATCCAAGCTGTGAATTGAGAGACTCCTGATTTTTTTACTTTGATCATATTCAATATGGGCAGTCTATCTTCCCCCAATTCTTTCCAGAATGATAATGTTGATCTTGTGGTCATCGGAGGTTGGTCATATCAACAAGACACGGCTTGCTTGTATTTTTGGCTGATTTGTTGTAGGCGGCCCCACGGGTCTTCTTTCTGCTGTGCTCGCACGCCAACAGGGTCTCACTGTTTGCGTTATTGGTATGTCCGAGTATCAAGTTCAAGAATCAACGGCAAGCTAACGAGCAGAAGACGACAAAGATGGACCGTTGAAGCTGGGCAGAGCAGATGCTCTAAATGCTCGAACCCAGCAGTATCTCGAAGTGGTTGGTGTTCTCAAAGAGCTGCGCTCCAAGGGCATAGAGTGCAATAGTAAGTTCTTATTCCTGGAGGAATCTACACTCGGGCTTCAAGCTCACGACTTCAAGCCAGTTCTACCTTTTCAGAGGGTGTCTTCAAGTCCAGACAGAGTCAATGGTGGACCAGTCTCGAGCATTGTCTGCACAAGAACTTTCTCATGATTGGGCAGCCCGAGGTTGAATCGGCACTCTTGGGCCTTTTCGATCACCCAGTGAGCTACAAGGAGCAAGTAGTCTCGATCTCTGAGGACGATCGAGGTGTCTCGGTCAACACGAGCCTTGGTCGAATTGTCCACGGAAAATACGCCATTGCTGCCGATGGCGCCCGTTCCATGGTACGTAGCAGCCTCGGCATTTCATTTACGGGCACGAAGCCCGAGATGGTGTGGGCAGTCCTGGATACCTTCATTGATACCGACTTCCCTGTATGCTCGGAAATCATCACGTTTCAATTGAACGGACAGTCGCGGGTCTCGTGGATACCCCGGGAACGTGGCATGGCTCGATTCTATATCCTTCTCGACGGGGACATCAACCAGGCCAGAGCGGAACAGTCCATCAGAGACCACATGGCTCCACATCGGATAGACTTTGTCAAAACGGAATGGTTCAGCACCTTTGAGGGTAAGTCAAGCAGTCTTGCGCAACAACGGTGGACAGAGATGATGGTTGTCCGTCTTTTGATCGCCCCGATCCATCCAGTGCTAACACTATAGCGCTCAGTCAAGGAAAGGATAGCTTCCTCTTTCGTCTCCAAGGAGGGCTCCGGCCGAATCATTCTGGCAGGGGACGCAGCCCATGTCCACAGCGTCAACGGTGGACAAGGGCTGAACACTGGGGTAGCTGACGCTTTTGGCCTCGGCTGGCGCATCGCCATGGCTGTGCGCGCTGAGAAGGCTGCCCCAGAAGTGGCAAGTCGCCTTATCAAGAGCTACGATACGGAGCGCCGCTCTGTTGCCCAGGATGTCATTAATGTCGCAGCCAGGCTGGTGCGCGACACCATGCACACTGCCAAGCAGTATGTTGCGACAATCGAGAAGAACGCCGGCTACATCACTGGTAAGTAAGCTTTTTTTTTCTCCTTCATCCAAGCCGCGCGGCTTCGTCCGCAACCTTCTGCGCGTCACTGACTCGACTCCCGCGAACCAGGCATGGGGGTGTCATACGACGGTACAGGGTCTGCACTGATATCAGAGTCCGAACACGGCATCTGGAAGGCTGGAAGGCGCTGTCCTGATCTGGCCCTACTCAAGCCGGGATCAGGGCAGCAGACCCAGTCCGAGCCCCAGAGGCTTTACTCCATTCCCCGGTACGGGCAGTTCTTGATTGTCCAGGTGGGAACTAGCCAAGTTGGTGATGATCAACACCAGTCCCAAGGTGCGGCACTATATCTCACCATTCGCACACCCAATCACGACAACAGCGGACAGGCATGTGGCCTCAGCATAGATGAGAGGCAGGAATTCAGAGCAGACGATGTCAGTGAATCTGACGCCTGTGTCGTTGTTGTTCGTCCGGACATGTACATTGGTTATGTGGGCAATGAGACTGGGGCGGAGGAGTATATTGCCGGTTTCTTGGCGTAAACGGTCTACGAAGTGCTTAGTTGCGAGATTGATAGATGCGGCTGGCAGGAGGCAGTCGGAACATTGAACCACCACTCACGTAATACTGGCACCATGATAACACGATATTTTTGACTTTACTTTTTTTTCATTTTGTCCGAATCCACATTATGTACCAGGGTGGTATGAGGATGCGGCGAGTAGCTGTCGATTAATAATATCTTATATCATGAATTCACAACATGGGGGCTGGGCACATGTACCAACACTACTATGTATGCGCGAATACTACGGTTCAGGTCGTGTAAATGTGTACCTACGTCTCTAGGTTAGCGTAGATGTGCGTTCTGGACCCTTTTCGTTTGTTTATCATCTTGGATCCGGAACTCGATTAGGGCGGGTATCCGAGGCTGGGGGAGGGTTTTCCAGCTTGATTAATAACGTCCGAAGATCGTATCACGACCACTTCCGCGAGGTGCCGTTCCGTGGCCATTGGCCGGACAAACAAAAGCGGAACATGGCGGCCAGATGCCGGCCGACAAAGGGCAATAAGGCGCCTCCTCTTCCACGTATGCGAACTCCTGTAAGGAATATTGCATGTTCAAAATTTTTTTGGTTGCAGGGGTTGCGGCAACCGAGTGTGGAGGCGTATATCTTTAAATTTTTTTTTTGACAATGGGACAGGGTAGGAAATAACCTTTCTCTTGGATATGCCGCTACTGGTGTCTGCGCCGACAGGCTGGTGGGGGGAGGGATGAGACCCCTGGTAATTAAGGTGTGCCCCTGGACCCTTGGCGGGCGAGGGGGACTTGTACAAAGTATTCCGTATTCTGTAATAGCATGCAGGAAGTAGTTAGTATCAGCCGGCCGGCACACAGCAGTAGACCCTTGGACCACAGATGATTGATAACCCTTGAACAAGTGCTCTCTCTCCTCTCTGGTGCTATCGGCATTCGGCCGACTGTACCAAGAAAATCGAATGCAGACCACGTCAGTGAATTCCAGCAAGTTCCCTGCGCCTGTCAAGCAGCTGTGAAGAAAGACCACGCCAGTCTGGACGTATATCCCGGGAGGCGCACGCATGCACACACGAGTCACGATGCTCAAGTCTCCGGACTCTCCGTGACTCGTCTCGTGTTTTGATCGTCGCCGCGCGTGGGATTGATAGGAGTGAGAGCAGGCTGTTATCTTCGGCACATAGCATCAATATCAAGTAATCTGGTATTGCTAATAGTGCGTCATAAACGTCAGTCAGGGCATTCGGTGTCCACAGGGGGAAATAGGAGACAGAAAAGGGTTGCATGTCAAACACTGCCTATCTCTATCACCTGCAGCTTGGACACGAGGAGAAGAGCCAGGAAGAATACCTACATCCTCCCCAACCCCCAACCCCCAACCCCAGACAGACCATGGCCGACGCCAAATCAGAGGCAGACGTGTCGGCGTTGCAAGCTCCAAGAACAATCCCCAACGGAGGGGCTCAGGCATGGCTCCAGGTCCTAGGCGCCTTCTGTATCTACTTCAATACTTGGGGTCGGTTGTTTTCTTGTTCCCTAGCACCAATGCTGGCAAGCAAGTGAAGGCGTTGTCAAGGCTAACATGATTCTACAGGACTCTTATCCAGCTACGGCAGCTTCCAGACTTTTTACGAAACTGATCTGCTCAAATCCAGGACTCATTTCGAGGTGTCGACTATCGGATCACTGCAGAGCTTTCTACTGGTCTTTTTGGGGTTCCTCAGCGGTCCTGTCTACGATGCAGGCTATGCGCGACATCTTCTTACGGCAGGATCGTTCCTAATCGTTGTCGGCACCATTGCTCAGAGCTTTTGCTACGAGCTGTGGCACCTTTTACTTGCCCAGGGACTATGTATCGGTATTGGATGTGGGTGTCTTGCAGTGTTGAGTGTCGCTATACCGGCTCTATGGTTTAACACAAGACTGCCCCTGGCGAACGGAATCGCAGCGGCAGGGAGTGGACTGGGAGGGTAAGAAGGCGCGCACTCTTTTTCTCTTTTCCTTGTCTCCAAAACGGGCCATGTCTTTCTTCTTTACTGACCTCAGCCAAGGGTGGTCTATCCGGTCCTGATCCGTAATCTTCTCCCCTCGGTGGGCTTTGGGTGGACCGTACGGGCCATTGCACTCATTATCCTGGTTTTGCTCGGGTTTTCCATGTGCGTGGTTCGGATACCGCAGTCTTCCAAACAGCGGCGGCGGTTCATAGATCGCGCGTCACTGAGCGATTGGCCGTACGTTTTGTTCGTCCTGGGTTGCTTCACAGTCTTCCTGGGCATGTACACGCCTTTCTTCTATGTTCAGAGCTATGCCATAGAAGGCACGGGTACATCCTCCGACGTTGCCTTTTATATTGTCACGGCCATGAACTTAGCCTCGATTCCGGGGCGTATCATTCCAGGACTGCTGGCTCAACGCCTCGGGCCGTTGAACATGATCGTTGGCACCAGTGTGGCCCTGGCAGCATGCGGACTCGGTTTGTTAGGCGCTCGCACAACGGTGAGCGTCTTTGCCGTGTCTATTCTCTACGGCCTCTTCACAGGCTTGTTCTTTGCCTTGCAACCAACAATATTCGTGCGCCTTACGGGAGACATGAAAGTTCTTGGCACGCGGTTCGGCATGGCCTTCACGGTCATGTCGGTGGCCCTTCTATTCGGCTCGCCCATCAGTGGTGCTCTACAGGATAGATATGGATATAACACATCTTGGGCTTGGGTCGGGGCGACGATTTTAGCCGGCGGCGCAATCATTCTGGCTGCGAAGACGGTACAGTGCCGAGGGGATCTCAGGAGAAAGTCTTGAGCGTTCACACTTTTGCCACAATCAGTCGGCCTCCTTTTGTCTTTCAAAGGCACTCGCCAGCGTACCTAGCCTCCCTCCCTACTACCTTTTTCAGCAGTTTCTGCGGTTTATTTGCATGTCACCACGACATGGAAAATAACATGCAGTGACACAGAGCAAATAATACAGGCGTACTCTTATTAAGCTTTGGTGCAGTACCGATGTGATTTACATAAAGTTTTGCCTTGCACCATGTTGCCAAAATAAGTAGTACTAACCAGAGATTTGCACTAACAATGCCCCAGCACTTTCCTAGTACCCAGGTCTAAACACAGGGCCTAGGTACATATTTAGCTCGTCTGCCGGGACCTGCCAAACTTTAAAAAAAAGGAAGAGATAGACAGAGGAAAAAAACTACCGTACCTGCTCTGGATTACACCTTGTATGAGGGGCACCGGCGCAGGCGACGCTAGACTCTATGCAGGTACGATGACGCTAACAGCACGACAGATATTGACAAATAATGACCGACATCTCACCTGGCTCGTCATTTTTGTGCCCTTACGTCACTAATCTTGGGTAAGTTACCCAAGGTTAGACATGAATGCGCTGGCACAGAGACAGACAGACGATGGCTACATCGTGATCTGGAGAAACATGGTCGCGCCGCATCACTTTGCGCCTCATTTTCATCTCCGCCGGCCTGGACACTAACATTGCCTTTGCTCCTTCTTCTACTGTAGGGTTGTTTATGTTTCTTTTTTTTTTCCCCTCATCAAGTGTAAACATTCTTATTCTTCATATGACCATGACTTGGAGGAAAACCATAAGAAGCAGCAAGACGGACGCACTCAACTACGACAACTAGGTGGCCGGCGGCTCGTCTAGCCATGGCGCCAAACCCTATTATTATTTCCCGCAAACCGGTACCCAGGTCTGCACAGCCAAATGCTCGCGACTCATCATCATCGTCGTCGTCGTCGTCGCCGTCGTCATCACCAAGGCGTGACGGCGACAACTCAGGCCACGTCAACACTCTCTTGGCCACCTCACTCGTAATCATACTCGTCGCAAACCTGTCATGGGCACGCCGCTGGCTATTGTCAGGCGCAGCCATCGAGTCGCTTCTCGTCATCTATGCCAACGGCCATCGCAATAGGATTCTGCCGACGGTACCCTTGTGGACACTGCTCTCTACCCTTAATCTCATCTATGCAATCTGCTCTACTTCATGGCTGCTTCATGCCTTGTTTGCAGTCACTTGCTATGTCGCTGTCCTGCTCACCAGTCTGGCGCAGTTCCCTACTGTCGGCACTGTCTGTCGTAAAGTCTTAAGGAGAACCCTGGGACAAGATCCTCACTTTATTAGAGACCAGCTGGCCTTATTCAACCTGCCGGCCCTGGAGATTGACACGGAAGTGAATGGCCTGTTTGTGATTAGGGGTGTCACGATCAGTTTCTCGTCTCTCACCATTATCGCCCACGGCATAGAAGTTGGTATGCGTGTCCGAACCCATTTCCCCCTTTTGGTTGTGCCTCCCTTCACTTGTCTTGAAATCTGACTCTCTGTGAACAGGAATCAAGCTGACCAAGGATATTGAACTGGCCATTTGCGTTGATCAAGTCGTCGTGAGCCTTTTTCGCCGCATCGAAATCGGAGACGTGTTCGCCAATGTCAAGGGCGGCCAGTTCGAGATGACATTTGGCGAAGTCGACGAGGACGCCGTGGATGATAATGTCAGTGTCGACAGCATCTTTCTCGGTGATACGCCATTGCTACGGGCAGCCACCGCTGGGTCTGGAAGTTTCAAGGACCGTCCAAAACTCAGATCATCTCTCACCGGCGCTAGCTTCATGCGTGACACATCGGCACAGGATGGGTATCAGAGCATGACCAAGCTATCCCCCGACGATGAACTTGCCGACAAGGAGTACCGGAAAAGGCTTGCAGATATTCGCACCTCTAGCACCATCTACCAATCCCGCCAGCAAGCCCTGAAGAGAGCTCTTGAGGATCCAGATGTCAAGCTCAACAACGACAACGATATACGAGCGGCCGTGTCGGCGGAACTACACGGCTTCCCATCCATTGCACACCCCCCTTTACGCTCGGTACGGGTCACCACGCTCCAGACTCTATCCCCGCCATACATGCGCCGATTCATGCATCGTCTCCCTTTTCTTCTGAGGCTTCTCTTGGCACCTCTCAGCTACTTTCATCCGATCAGCTTTGCATCTATCAACGCAGCTGGCTCTGGACAGTGGCTGTCGGAGCTTCTGAAGCAGGAAATCTTCAAACAATACATGGAGACAAGCTCTGAGCTCCGAAGGCTCCATCGAAGAGTCTCGACTTGGCTGGCCGATGCCACATTCTGCCTGCAGCTGACCGACATTGATGCTCTAGGGTCCGTTCCCCTGAGCTCAGCATTTGACATTGTTGCATACCTAAAGTTTGACGACGTCATGGCTTATCGAACGACACAGCCATCTGGCGCTGTAACTCAGGTGGTTCGTCTGGGTGGCGCCGACGCCACTTTCACCATCCCTTCCTTCCTGCTACCCCACCATGAACATCTACTACCTCCAAAGCCTGCGCCATCCGACGAAGAGAGGCTCAAGGTCGAGGTGGCCGAGGCAGACGGAGTACCCAAAACAACCCAGGCAAAGAATGATCTCGACAAGGCACAAAAGGATGAATCGTCCATTGCCATGAGTGTCCACGCCAGCCTGCCGGCAACTTTTGACCAAACTCTGTTGAACTTCATTGCCGCACTTGTCAAGGCAACCAAGATTGTAGAGATTGAAAAGGAGATTGCTGAAGTCGAACAGAGGCGCGGACGGAGCAATACCAATAACAGCCTCCCAAACTCGCCAGACTCGGACACGGAGAGTGTTCTGTCAGAAAGTCCGACAAAACCCAAACTCGGCTTCAAGGAGGTGGCTGGATTCAAGGTCATGGCGCATAACATCAGACAGAATCTAAAAGACGGTTCGTACAACACTTCAATCAAGGAGTTCGCCAAGGAACTGCACCAGAACACCAAGGACGGTATGAAGAAGGCCGTCGTGGGTGGGCTCGTGAACGATCGCTGGATCGCCAAAATCGTCGGTAAGACGGCTGCCGCACTGCAGAAGGCACAAGGTGACGTTGGTTATAGCGGGGGTATTCCGATTCCCCTGGAACCATACCGAGGGCCAGAAGACCTTCCATCGAAGCTACTACCATAAATGCTTCTTTATCGAGCGTACGAATCATAGTAATAAGTGATACCCATACAATACTATCAATTTAATATACTAAGTCTGTGTGCCTATACTCCTCGGATCTCCTGCACACCACGCCTAGTTGGGATCAAGCCGTGCCACTTGCACAAGTCATCTCATCCATGGCAGCAGCCCTCTATCTACCCTTCTCATGACCTGGTGACTGCAAGTGATCGCTGTTGAAGGCCTTTGAGAACCGATCCAGTATCGCACAAGCCAGCAACGCAGCTAGGTCGGCCTTGACAATGGGTTCCAGTCCGGTCCGGCCTGGTCCCCATAATCGCCGCAGTTGCGTGCAATGGCGTCATCATCGCCCCGGTCATCTGCATCTGTTCAAAAACAAATACGTTCTAAGTGTGCATATATACCTAGTATATATTTAAGTGTGTTTTCCTCATGCTCCTATTTTGTCCAAGGGAATAAATGTAAACAAGCCTAGCTTTGCGTGCACCTGTACACGGAGTACCAGGTGACTTTTTTCCCCCCCCTTTTCCCGAAATTGTTGCGAGCGTAAGTATAGGAAGTCATATAGCCGGTGCTTTACAACATGAGACCCTCGATAGGTGTGTCAACTTACGGCCCTATCCCGTGCAAGCCGCACGGTATCTCGCATGTATGCAGCGGAGGAGCCCTATACGTGATTGTACTACATCTGGCGTCATCAAGCCCCATTCTTATCAATATGCGACCTCGGAATTCCTTCCCATAGGTAGACATAGAGAGGCGGATGCGCATATGCGTGAAAAACGTTGACTATATAGACAACGAGCAGAAGAAGAGTCGGGGCCAGACTCATCGTCTCTCCGTCTGTCGGCAGACCTAGACAAGCCAAAGTTTCAAAAAGCTCAGCACTGAATAACCCTCCCCTGATTCTAAGCACTATATCAAAAGAATATGACGCGCCAATATCGTCGTGTTGCAGTCATAGGAGCCGGTCCTGCTGGCGCCATTGCCACGGATGCTCTTGCAAAAGAGCAGGCTTTTGACACGATTCGTGTTTTCGACCGCCGCAGCGGCATAGGGGGCACTGTATGTGAATTATCTCCAAGAGACGATACTGGAAGAGTGGACTTGGATATCACAACTCTTCTGTTTAACATTTAAATGTATTACGCTGACCAGCTCAAACCCCATAGTGGATCCATACACCGCATCTGCCGGCCTCGATTCCCTCCTTGGAGGAGATCCTGAATGGAACTGCAGACAAGACGATTGTCGTTCCAGAGATTCTGCCGACAGTCACTCCGGTGTCTGAGGAAGTCAACAGCCACCAGCTCCGGTTCTCGGACACGGCCATCCATGAAAACTTGCACAGTAACATTACGCCCGAGATCATGTCGTTTTCCACCTACCCCTTTCCTGATACTCTATCTCCTCGCACTCTAAAGGAATACGGGCCTCAGGCACCCTTTCGCCACCACACAATTATCAGAGACTGGGTTGAGAATATCTTCAGATCCAACGGACATGATAAACTGGTGGAGCTCAACACTACGATTGAGCGCGCCGTTAAACAGGCGGAAGAATGGAACCTGACTCTTCGGAAAGAAGTCAGCGGGCGCAATTATTGGTGGAGAGAGAAATTTGACGCTCTTGTTGTGGCCAGTGGTCATTATAACGTTCCATGGTTTCCAGAAATCAAGGGTTTGCTCGAGTGGGATAAGACATATCCTGGCAGCCTGGTGCACAGCAAACATTTCAAGGGCCCAAAGAATTTCAAAGGCAAGGTAAGTGAAGTGCCATACAGCCACCATACTCATCCGCATATCGATCCGGGTTATGTGACACTTAGGTTGACGCTGGGTATTCTAGAGGGTCCTCGTTGTCGGGGGATCGGTCTCGTCTCATGAGATCATCCACGAGATCCTCGATGTAGCTCAAGCACCAGTATACGCGGCGGTCAGAGGCGATCCCATTCCCGCCTTTGGCTGGATCCCTTTTGAGCATCCGAGTATAGAGGTAAGGAAGCAGATAAGCCGCCTAGACGCGGGGACGGGACGGGTACACTTTGCCGATGGATCCCATCTGGACAAGATAGACCATATTGTCTTTGGGACAGGCTACACTTTCAGCTTCCCCTTTCTGCCGCATGTTCAGCAGCGTATAAGCAAAGCCTACCGACGACTTCCGGGTGTCTGGCAGCATACATGGGATATCGAGGATCCATCTTTGGCTTTTATTGGCATGGTATGTAATCGCTCGCTCCCGGCCTTTCGGTCACGTTCACAACTTTGTCCTCGGATGTGCTGACGGCTGTGGCCAGCTTGGTGGGGGGTTCACCTTTCGTGCCTATGAATACCAGGCAGTGGCTGTTGCTAGACATCTGGCTGGCCGGGCACGACATTCTCTGCCGCCCATTTCCGAGCAGTTGGAGTGGGAACGTGCTCGAGTTGCAGAAAAGAAGGGCGGTAAGGATTACTACTCCATTGCTCCTAACTATAAGGAGTTTTTTGACTTCTTACGTGGTTTTGCTGGCGATCCTGTCGAAGGCACAACGGGACGAAAGCTGGAACCATTCGGGAAAGAATGGCTCGGTCTGTGGAGTGGAATGGTCAATCACCGAATCGGCGCTTGGACAAGAAAGAAGAAGAGGGCCGAGGATCAATTGGGTCTAGACAATATCAAAGCAAAGCTATAGTCAGACGGGGAGCATTGCCGTGGGCTTCCATGGTATTTGCCATTTCTTCCCACTTTGCTTCCGTTGCGCACAAAACGCTCAGTTTACTGGCGTATCAACGAATTTCATACCATCGAAAGATGAGTCTACATGTAGTCATGACATCTGTCAAATACAAGCATCATGTTAGCAAGAACTACACATTAGATTATGAAACTCGAATCAAAATATCTGATTCCGCCAGGTGTTTTTATTTTTGTGTTTATTTTTCTATTTACTCGATTTGTGACGACTCGCTCTCCTTGGTCGTCTGCCCTGACTGAGTGATCCCTCGCCAGAAGACAGCACACTTCCATGCACTCGTCCTCTCGCTCTAGATGCAGCTGGTATACTAAGGGATCGCGCAATCATGTGCCGGTGCCCTAACCAACTAACTGCGTCCTTTTCGAGGCCACTGGCCCATTGCCGCGCTCATCACCTGCTGCTGCGCTCATCCAAGTCGTACCAACTGAATGGTTCAATGTACTGTAACAAGAATACACTCGTGAATATTGGGGTATTATGTGTAGCCTTTTTCCGCCTAATTTTTTGGGGGGGTGGGGGGGAAGGGGGACCTTGATCATAACCGCGTCTGAAACTTTTCTCGCATCTCGACATCCGCGGACCTCAACCGATGGGACCGTTCGTTTTTGTGAATTCACCTTGAAACCGAGGTGATTTATGTGTATGAAAGGATATCAAGAACACCTAGAAACACCAAACGCAATGCCGCCACAAAATCAGAGCTCGGGCCTGTGAGATCGAGCCCGAAGCATGATGATGATGAAAACAAACTATGCCTAAGAGCCGTCATGCCATGCAATGCAAAAAAGACAAAAGACAAAAGAAAAACAAGCTCAAATCATTCCCTCGCCTCAGTGTTGACTTCCGTGGTATGATGGCTATCTCACGTCATAACAGGCTGTATGAGCAAACCTCCAACCTGGGGCCTAGACCATCGACTCATGGAGTCTTGGCTCGTAAGCCGGCATCTGTGGCGCCTCGTCTGTTGTGCCAAATTGGGGGATCCACTTGCGGGCCAGGTTGGGTAATCCTGCGCCATTGGGCTGGATAACCTTCTCTTGCCAGTTCAGTACGTCCCATGGATCCGCTACATCGTGACGCCGGGAAGCTGAGAGACGTTGTTGGATCTCATCCGAACCTGGAACAAGGCGCGCGCGAACAGCTTCCACGGCACGTAGGCGTCGAGCCTCTCGTTCGGCGACAACAAAAGTCAGGGCATTATGCCGATCCTGAGCGGTGTTCCAAGCTTGTGCATTGATACTCTCGGAAGCCAGCACGTAGCGGAGGTCTTCAAAAGGAAGATTCAGCAAAATCCTTGACAAAAGAGCAGAGCACTTGGCTGGTTCGCGAGGGGTTGCTCCAATACCCTCTTCGGGAACATCCGCCGGAAGGTCGCCAAATTTGATGGCCGATAGGCGATTGCCCTTGGAAAGTTTACGGACAGAAGTGCCACGGGCAATAGCAGGTGCTGATTCTGCGGGTGCCTGGATGGCGGCGGCGGCGGCGGCGGGTATGCGAGAGAAGTAATGTGTATCAGTCACAGTAGTATCGAGGTTGAAATTGGGAGGAAACTGGGTGATGAGAAAGCTTGTAATAGACATCATGAGAATCCTGACGTCACGGCCATACGCGAAGTCAATGTCGGTATAATCAACGCCATCCTCTCCAATGAAGTGGCGGTGCGATGCACCTTCGAGAGCAAAGGAGAGTGCCTCCTCAATGGTGTGCCATTGGACCATGTCGGCAGCAATCTGTAGTCCTCGCAGCAGTACATCACTCATCTCCAAGGAATGGCCGGCGGCAGCATAGCCAAGACAGAACCTGAACTGTGCAATATTGACCACACCAAAATCGGTACCATTGGCGTTGAAAGGAGGTGTGAACAGAGGATGTAGATAGAGTCGTTGAACAGCCATGAACCAGGAATCTGACGTCAGGTATCGATCAGTTGCATTGAAAGTGATGATATGGGATCCAGCATCAGATGCTCTGGCGATCATGATAGACTGCTTGAGAGCTGGGCTGCGGGCCAGTATCAGTTTGTGAGCATTGATCTTCGCCGGCGACTGAGTAGCATCTGGGAATCTGAGCTCTAATATGCAATCCGCCAACTCGGCTGAGTTGAACTGAGTCTGGAAGAACATAACACTGTCCAGGAGCTCCGCATCCATGTTTGGCGGGCGCGGGAAGTGCTGAGGCGCAGCGAATGGTGGCATTGGGTGAATACCATGTGGGCGGCTGTTTCTAGGGTCACGGTCGAACACATGACCATTAGGACGAAACGAGGCGATATTATCAGGACCGCTGAAGTCGCCTGAAGCGTGGGAACCGTGAAAGCTATGAGGTGTCGGAGGCTCAAAGTGGCTGGCGTTCGGGGGGTAACCGTCCAGCGGGGCTCGGTGAACCGACAGAGGAGCGGGAATGGGTATATACGAGTCGATGCTAGTCATGTTATCGGGACCTGGTCGGAGTGGCGTGATAGGAGCGGCATAGTTTGTGCCGTTATTATCGACATGACTGGTATGGATATGTTGACCATTGGGAGGCATGTACTTGTGTCCATCAACGGCGACTCCACCAAGCAAAGGTCGGTGGAGAGGCGGCGGCGGCATGAAAGCTCCCGAGGCAGGAGAAGGAGTATGCGAATCCGGAGTTGGAACTCCACCAAACAGGACACCATTTCCATTGGCATGGGCGTAATGATGAGCGTAGAGTGTAGTAGGATGAGGGACGTGATGAACTGCAGTGTCGGTCCCGTTTGCCTTGAATATAGGATGACTCGATGCGTGAGGGTCCGTCGAGTTCCCCGAGCTGTCAGCATGGTAAGACGGAGCAATTGCAGCAGCTTCGTTGGCAGCTCCTAATGAAAGCAAGTTAGTTTGTTGTTTTGAAGGGCATCGCGGCAAAGCAGACAGAACCAGTTGAGTTCCGCGAGGGATGTGAGCATTACCATTGGACAGCTCGCGGGGAGGCAGGCTGGTGGGAACCTCGACATCACCCACAATGGAAGGGGCATTTGAGGCATGGACGAAAGCCGATGATGATGCTGAGGTGGGGTCGTTCGAATTATGGTTGAGGGCAAAGTTGGCGAAGCCGTTGGTAAGATGCTCTGCACGGATGGCTTGTTCATTCTCGGGGACAGAACCATACCCACTCGAGATGGTAGTATCGACAATACCATTAGGAGTTGAAGGCAGTTGATTGCGATAGTGGCTGCTGTTGTCGTGATCGTCGCCATTGTGGTGAGGGTCAGTGGTTGCGGCGGCAGCAAGGGCGGGCTTCTCCACGGGAGTGCCGTTAGCATTGACATTGAGCTCGTTTTGTTTGCTGCGTCTCGGTCTCTGGCGATGTATGGCTGTCTCGTCGGCGACAGCGGCGGCAGTTTGGTGGTCAATGAGCGCGGCTTCGAGAGAGGCTACAGGCGGGCGGCCGGAGGACGAAGTGGCAGGGGAAACAACATGTCGTGAAGCGTTGTGGCTACCATTGAAGCGGTTGCTGGCGGCGTTGTTGGCGTTGCCGCTACCATTGCTGCTGCTGTTGCTGCTGCCGCCGATGATCTTCTTGGTGCTCGAAGTCTGTCGCTTGATCATGGGCAACGGAATGGCAGGCACGACAGCAGGACGGGAGACAGGTGCTGCTGCTGGGCCGGCGGCGGCGGCGGCGGCGGCGGCACGCGGCTTCTTCGCGATGGCAGAGGCAGCTTGAGAGGCAGGGACAGAGGCAGCAGATCCAGAGCTAGCGGTGGTGGTTTGCTGGCGCTGGTGCTGCTTCTGCGGCTGCTGCTTGGCGGCCTGACCACCCTTTGAGGGCGCCATGATCGGGGGGAGGAACGACGATGTTGGGACCGTCAATCAGGCAGTCCAAGGCTGGCAAGTTTCTGGGTGGTGATGGAAGGGAGATTGGATCTTGAGAGCTGTTTGCAAATAGACAGCTCACTGGGACTGCTAATTTTTTGGAGTCCGAAATCCGGGGAGTGGGATTGGGGAGGCACGAGCGTCTTTCGATCCCTTGCGGGCGGGCGGTGGATGGGCTTGGAGGGGGGAGGGAGGATGGGGGGGGGACCAAAAAAAAAATTGGTTGGCGACCGTTTGGGACGTTTGACAGCCGCACCCGAGGGCAAGGAAGGCGACGGCGCAATTCAGTGATGGGACGAAGAGGGAGAAAGCCAGCTCAGGTTCTGCATACATACATGCGCAGGCAATCAATATGCGAGCAGTCTTTCAAGTTGCATAGATCTTCTATTTCTCTTGTCCGATGTTAATTATCATCACTTCTCCCTTGGGGGTCAAGAAGGCGGCTTGATTTGCTTTGAGCCGACCGTCTTCCATCTATCTATCTACGTACAATTTTTTTTTTCCCATGCTCCTTCCCTTGTTTAAAGAGTGGGGCATCTGGTGTTTGTTTCGAGGTACGAAGTACTTAGGCGCTACGCAGTAAGCTTGAGTTGTAGTGCATCACTACTGGCTGATTGATACATCCATGGATCAGTTAACACTGAAATCCCTTAAAGTGTCCATCAATGTCCATTATTTTCATCCATGTTCCATTGATCAATGGGCCATGTGAGTTAATACCTAGGCCCGCAAGCTTTTTGTTCTCTTCCCTTTATTTATACTGCACTTGGATGCAAGAAAGGTAGGTCTTGCTTGCAAATGTAACCTTTGTAATATTCTTGATCGTCTGTTGCCTGAGGTGCTTCATAAACTGCAATACTGTCAACATGGGTTCGATGCCCGTTTGGATCTAAAAGCCTCCTCTCACCAGCTCCCAAAGTGATAATAAGTAAGGCAAGCTAGGCAGAGGAACTCAACACCTTGTGTAAAACAAGCAACACGAGCACTGACATTTTCAATCCAGACATGCTATAACCCACTAGACTTCACCTCGTACATCCAGAGTCTAGTGCAAGTCTTGATAAATACGTGTAACCAGGCACATGGGAGAGGAAACCCGTGTCGACCGTTCAAGGCATTTCGGTATTGCACCGCAATTTTGAAATTAATTATAAGCATTGCTAATTCGAAATGCAAAAGTTTGACATATCGGGGCCCGCCCAATTGCACCCAGCCGTATCTTAAACACCTTAAATCACCGTACCAGCCGCCTCAGGCTGCTCTTTACATGCATGCCTACATGTAGGTTACCTACATTACCTACACATGTACCTAACTTGAAAGGTAGGTCCCTCAGCCACTGTAATACCTCCAGGCACACAATGCCTTTTTTTCCCCCCTCCACTTGTAGTCTGCTTCCATCACGATGGTTGAGTCTTGACAAGGTTGACTATAATGATTGAGGGCCCATGATGCCACCAGAGCATCAATTGGAGCCCAAATTAGATCATGGAACATGAAATTTGTTTGTGATAGCAGATACAGACAGATCATGTACATTGCTTGCGCACTGCCTCCGTTGCAAACCATGTCGGGATTCGAGGGGTGCTTTAGAGGTTAAACATGGCATCATCCCGAAACCTTGATATTGGTGCTTCGGCCACCGCGAGCGTACAGAGTTACCAATCATCCGTTATTCCTCCTCCTCCTCCTCCTCCTCCTCCTCCTGCTTCTCTTCTTTTTTTTTTTTTTTTTTTTTTCTCCTGAAATTGAAAACTGGCTGGCAATTGGCGGCCGGTCTGCATTTGATCCTGACGGTCAATGTCGGAACTTGAATTGAGTTGCTCGCAATTCAGTGTGCTCTTCCGAGCAGATGTTCCAGCATACAAACGAAAACACCAATCACGTATGATTTCAAAGCCAAATGCAGTAAAGACATTTGAAACCAACCACTAGACATCTTATACAGAGTAGATAGATCAACACTACGTAACGCCACCAACCCATGACTCGTTCGCACCGTTCCCTCGTCGATCTGTGCTGACCCCTCCTCACATTCACCTCGCGGACCTTACCTATGTACCCTCCAAAACTAATAGTATTACCCCGCGCTACTTTCTATATCCGCAATATCGCCATATTGACATAGGTACTGTATAGTGACAAAAATGATGGGGCCACGCTGACGATGGTACCGAGTCCGACCACATACTATCATACCCGCCGACCTAGATTTGCAAGCGGACTTAAGAGAAAACAAACGCCGGGCTGTTACAAGCTCCATAACGGGTCAAGAAATACACATGGATCTCTATCGGCCGAGAAGTGAACAAGGTCGAGTATTTGGCATGCAATTGACACCAGAATATATCAATTGTAAAGAGAGAAAAAAAACATAAATCGAGAGTAAATTCCACCCGTTTCTTTGGCGCAATTCATATTCCCTTCTTCTTTCAACCTGCAGTTGTTCAGTCTTATCCTGCCAATCGCTTTAGTCAATCCTTTGTCCAAGTGCAAACCACATACTAATCCAAGATACTCGAGCAAAGAAAACTTGTCCGCTATCGTCTTCGACATGTCTTCTGAAAAGGATATCGTTCTCGTAACTGGTGGTGAGTGTTTGTTCATTCCCTACTTCTTCTGCTTCTGCTTCTAAATGCAGATCTCTTGTGCAGGCAACACGGGTCTAGGCTGGGAGATTGTCCGCGCATTAGCTGGCACTTCTACTGCATATGAAATCATCATTGGCTGTCGAACGGTCGCCAAGGGGGAAGAGGCCATCACAACTATCAAGCAAGCACAACCCAAGACCACGTCTTCTTTCAGCACCCTGCAAGTCGACTTGTCCTCCGACTCTTCGCTCGAGCAAGCAGTCGAGCATATAACATCCAAGTATGGACGACTGGATGTGCTGATCAACAATGGCGGCGCGGCCTTTGATCAAGATATTGCCAGCGGCCGTTCAAGCATCAGAGATGCTTTCAACAACAGCTGGGATACCAATGTGTCCGGCACTCATGTCTTGACCACGCTGTCTGTCCCACTATTATTGAAGTCCATGGATCCACGTCTCCTCTTCATCACGAGTGGCACGTCCTCTCTCGCGGAGACGGAAATGATGGACAATGATATGCACAAGCGGCTGAAGTAAGTCATCCTTGCATGAGCATCATTCTCTTTGTCGATTGAGGCTTCTTCTCCCATGGCTGCCTGGCTAACCCGAGCAACCATTAGTGCCTCGCCACCTGCTGGCTGGCCTAAGCCGCCCATCATGAGCCACATGGCTTATCGCAGCAGGTTAGTGATCAATACTTGATTCCTCCCTTATTAGCACGTCCTGTTGGGCTATGAATTAGAAATACCTTTGTCTGTGATTCGATGCGTGCCGTCTTTCACTTGAAGTGGCTCATCCACGATAGGAAAAGAGTAATGATTGACATTCCTGCGTGAAATAGCAAGACTGGGCTCAATATGCTCATGCGTGAGTGGAGGAGACTGCTTTTGAATGACGGTGTCAAAGTCTGGGCTATCAGCCCAGGCTTCCTGGCTACCGGCCTAACCGGCGCAGGTGCAGAGAAGTTGAAGCAGGTAAGAAGCAATTCCTTGATGCTGGCGGAGCAGCATCGGGACTCAGCCAAGGGGAAATCTACTCGAAGACTGACACTCACACAGATGGGGGCACTGGAACCATCAGTAGGTGGCGAATTTGTTAGGGACGTTGTTCAAGGCAAACGAGATGAGTATATGGGCAAGGTCATTCGAAGAAATGAAATACAGCCTTGGTAGACGTCAAGTATTCTCTACAACGATTCACTAGTAATTCATACATTACATTCTATCCAAAACATTTTCTCGCGAACGATAAAATTCGATCGAGTCATCCGATCTTCTAGGGCCATATATGTAGGTTCGTTGTTGTTGGGAAATGGATGTGTCTTCACTCGTCGCTCATTAAGAGATACTGGACTGGCCAAGGAGAATTACATGTACTTGATCCAATGGATTCAAAGGAATAAAGCGGATCACATGCACTTATAAGTTGCACTGTTCTACATGCCATCAATAATAACATGTGTAAGAGCAACGAGGGCTACAGATGGGGAGACTTATCTCCAGAACAATTAGAATGCAAACAAGGCGACAGGTTTACATATATTCGATAGGCCTGAGGCACTCCAATCACGAATTACGGTTCTTAACGACACTCCGTCATTCTTTTCCTTTACATGGTGCCAGATTTTCTCACTGGAATGTTGACCGATGACTAAGATCGTGGCAGCAACGTTGAACAGTCCTGTGTGTAAAGTCCAAAGGTATTATAAACAAAGGGATCAATTCCAAATTTTGTTTACAGGACACAGTTGAGCCTCTTGAATACGCGACATGACTGAGAAGAGTGAGATGTGAAGATACGAGAAACATTTCTAATTCAAACCAACAAGTGCCCTTCAAACACAAAAACTAGACAGTGGAAATCGCCGATCGAAGGGGGGAAACACATTAAAAAAAAAAAAAAACCAATCTAGTCATTCAAATCAATAGCTTTGCCAAATGCTAGTTGAATAACAAGTGGGGAGCTGCTAAAGAGGCAAACTCATCTTGCCCGAGCATGTAATTGGCATTTCGTACATCGTAGATGTCGCGACGACGGTAATTTACTATGTTTGATTTTCGCAGTTGGTTGAGTTCGGGCACATATAATTTGCAAATACCGTTGGCTGGCCTAATCCGGCATGGACATTGGCCCCATATAAGGGCCTGACATTTCCTATGGGCTTTTGAGCGGCCACGTTCATTCTGTTCTAGAGCTTTATTCTGCTCACCAGGGGTATAGTAGTTGCAGACCGAGAACCAAGGTGGAATTCTGCTATCGGTGTTGTTGAGGCCAGTAGTGGAGCAGTCCTGTGTATGGCAGCCAACAGAGGTAGTAGAGTCCCACTACAAGATCGAGGAGATTAGTGTTTTATTTCCAATGGCCTGCAAAGGGGCGCGGGCGGTCTGAGCAGAAAATTTGAATATGCTTCACGATTCCTTTTGCAGCCGTCTTCAAATATGGCTGATGCATGCGCTGAACGAGACCAACACCGGAAGTAAGGTACCTACGACGATTTGAGAAAAGTGACCCCACGTGCGAAATCCACTGTCAGTATCATTTGGCTCCGTACCATAAGCTGTATAGTGGTTCACTTCTTGGTTGTAGAATCCTTCAGTTATCAAGGACCCCATTGCATCCGGTCGATACCCAGCTCCAATATTCTGGCCGCCGCTGTTATGCCTGTAGTTGCAATTCGAAGCGCTGGTTCGCGCACTGTCGGCAAGACTTTGGTTCCATGTTAAATCGAGGGCTTATAAACAGGATGTCAGAAAAAATGGTACTATATACGCCACTAGAAATACCTACCGGAATGATTAGCACGGTGGACGTTGTGATGACGAAGCACAGTGTCAATGTAGGCCTGGTTTGTGGCTACCGGCCCGGCCTGGCTTGTGCTTTGGAAGACGACCTCTATGAGTGTGGAGGTAGTGGACTTTGATGATCTAGGCTCCGTGTCAACAGAGCTTAGGACCGTTGTCTCCAAGACAGTAGGGTCTATTGCGACAGACGTCGGAATTGTGGTAGCCATGGCGGTATCGGTGGGCCGTGTACAGCCAGAGCTGCTAGACGTGGTCGACTCGAACGTGAGCGAGACTATCTAGCGTCAGATACTATAGAGTACAATACATGACCATTCGCAAGTATTCAGTAACTTACGCAGACGCGACTCGGAGCATTTCTTCCCCTCTACCAGGGCAAAGGAAAGCATTGAGCAGCGTACAAGCACGGGGGAACGCATCTTCGTAATTATAGAAATTGAGATAAACCCGAGAAACACACTTTTTTTTTTCTTTGCATGCCCCTGATACGAGGTTTAAATATCATCAACCTCACTTCATCGCGACGTCTTGTCTTCATCACCTGTAGTACGAACAGGACTAGGGTTTATGGGACCAAATCGCAATGTCTCAATTATGGCCTTGTTGACCATCCTGTCACGGCTATTTGTCGCACCCGTCATATCGATAGTCTGACTCATCGTTTTATCTCACTCATGGTTATATCATATCATCAGAGAAACATCGCCTTGCCCATGTTACATCAACAGGTGACATAGCTGAAAGATATCTCATGTGGGGCGATACAAGACTCTATACCCTGAGCGTTAGCAGCACGGGTCTCAGCACAGCCTCCCTGCAATTATGAGGGAGCACTCACTCGTTCTAAATCCTAAACAAGCGTGAATCGCATGCATAGGTGAAAATCGGGTTGCGACACTTTGGTACGACAATGGGGATGGTCAGTCTCTTTCGCATCTTACTTAAGACGGTATCGAATTCCAGTCCTTCTTGCCGTACATTCCGAAGTAACGTTACTATTCCAGTGGAAGATGAAGGTTTGTCTCTGCAGAGCAGACATGGATATCTTTTGATGTATTACAGACATCTTCTAGCAAGAAATTGCCACTCTCATGTATGGTTGGTCTTGCTGGCATTGTAATACATGATGATGAATAATGACTTATCGAAATGTTCCGTATCTTATATTCTTAGTTTTCACACGTGCCCTAGATTTGGAAGTAGCCCCAGGGATACTGCAACCATGATAGCAGCTCGCCCATCGCAGTAGACAATTCTCGTTCACTCATAGGTGCAACATGGTATTAACACTTGCAGGCTTGTGGTTTCTCGGTACAAGTATACAAATATGCCGGATGGAAGTACAACTTTGTATTTATACTATGTCATTAATTATCATAGGCTCAATTGGTATTCTCCAGCAATGTAGAAATGTTGCTTTGCACACGCAATGGCGAGATGAGCCGATTGGTACCATGAAACCCATTACGTGAAGTCAATTCATCACAGCAAAGCATCCGAGAACAAACGCAAGCTCGCTTTTGCTTGTGTATAGATAAGCAGCTTAGCCAGTGTTTCTCAATAACTGAAATCTGCCGTCCTAAGATGTGCTCACTTCTCGGGCCTCTTTCACAAAGATTTGCCCTTGCTACATGCCGAGCATAGACTTGTCTACCTCTCAGACCAAGAAAGACTTGCTGATAAAATCACACAACAGGTAGACTATCACAACGGCATCTAGTTGGTCTTTCCATGGGCATAATCCAATCAAATTCAGGATGTGTAATTGCACTAAAAGAGCTCCGGTCGACGCCGTGCAAATCCTGTATGTGTGGTAAGATCATCATGAAACCCGCAAGTATTCATTCAACCAACGAAGTATGTTAACTCTGATGCGTCGAATCATCGATGAGCTATTAGTACTTCGTGGTCTGAATGTGCGGAGATAGAATCGGGTTTAGGCGGGATCCGGAGAAAAACATTGCCAAATTGGGAAGCACAGAGGCACCGATATACCCGCTAGCATCCGCTGGTCAGCTCGAAAGTCCCGGAAATAAAATCGGTGCCGGGACCGCATGCCCGGTACTGTCCCTTCTCAAAGCGGCAAATACATGGTGATGCATTGGGAGGCGTCAAATAGTCCAAACTCCGGGCCGGCTGCAATTAGCGTTTGGAAGTCCTCGCCCTTCGAGTATAAAAGCGTCGACAGGGCTTGGTTCACTGATAGTAATGTCCAAATTTCGAAGGCCACCAAGTTCAGCCAAGAATCTGTAGTATATTCTATTTATTCATTCGATCCTAAGTCCTTTGGTCATCTCTACTTGGTAGCTTTCACTACCTAAGCACTAGTTTCAACATGTCAGACGAACTTCAGAACAGGTCCGCGATATTGCCGCACCCCAAGGCTTATCCAATGGTCATAGAAACTTCTCCAATTCCTGCCCCAACCGACAGTGAGGTCCTCATACGCGTGCGTGCGGTCGCCATCAATCCTGCAGACTGGGCTGTTCAAACCCTCGGCGTGGTAATAAAGCCAGAATTCCACCCTTACGTGAATGGCTGCGATGTGGCCGGCGAAGTCGTGGCGGTTGGACCAACCCAGTACCGATTCAGATCCGGCGACCGTGTCGTGGCTCTTGCCACAGCTTTCAAATCTGGCGATACAAAGTATGGCGCTTTCCAGGAGTATATGCTCGGCGTTGAGCCTTTCATCGCCAGGATCCCGGATCGAATCGAGTTCAGGGATGCAGCAGTCCTGCCGCTGTGCTTGTGTACCTCTTCCGCCATGCTTTTCTCCTCGGAATTGATGGGATTAGACCTACCAAGGTCAGCAGTTCAAGTCAATCCAAAGGATGAGGTCGTCCTCATCTGGGGTGGCAGCTCGAGTATTGGCTGCAATGCTATTCAGGCCGTCAAGGCTGCCGGCTACATTGTCGCTGCGACCGCGAGTAAAAAGAATCATACATTGTTGCAAGACATGGGCGTCGACCATATTTTTGAGCACCAGGCCGACGGAGTGGTGGATGAAATCGTTGCCACGATCAAGGGGTCGGGCAGGCTGGCAGGAGTTTATAATGCCATTATCACGGATGAAACAATCAGAGCTTGTGCAGGTTAGTAATCGCTCCCATTTGTTCTTCCCCTATTGGCATGTCTTTGGGGGGGGGGGGGGGGGGGGTTTCATGACACAGACATAACTTTGTCTATTTCCGAGTGCGTGCCATTTTACTCATGAATTTGACATCTTTACGACCTGAAATGAGCAGTGACTGACTTCTTTTTGTTGAGTAGAGGTTGCAAGCCGTGTCGATGGCACAAAACAGGTTGGGACAGTCCTGGCACCGGGAATGCCCGTCCCTCAGAATCTTCCAGGGGGTGTAAGGGCCATTGTCGATAAGGTGGGCCAAATGAACCAGCCTGAACTAGGCAAGGCTATTTTCGCAGACTGGCTGTCAGTTGCCTTAGAAGATGGCAGCATGAAATGTAGGCCACATCCAGAAGTCGTTGGGACAGGCTTGGACAAGATACAAGTAGCCGTTGACGCCATTGGCAAGGGTGTCAGTGGCAAGAAATTGGTTGTTGAGTTCTGAAAAATAAGAAGACCTACCTACGGGGCATAATGTTCTAGAAACCGGCACTGGTAGGGTAAACATGACTTTTTCCACAAAGACTCATCTCGGATTTGGGGAGGGGATTTTGGATCTGTTCAAAAGCTACTCTGTAAGATGGCAGAGTGTTCTAGTGCCTCAATCGAGTAGAAAATCTTTATTCTCCTGACCATTGCGGACCGCGGCTCTCGAATCTTCTTTAGCTTTGTAGAATCTCATGGCCTATATATGCAAACATATTAATCTCATTCGCTGAATTTGACAAACTTTTCTTTTTTTGGGGGGCTTTCCTTGTACCCAAAACATATGAGATCAGAAACTTCCAGAGGCATTTCAATACTACGATCGATTACTCCAGCCAAGCACACGCTGCCTGGCCCAATCGTCTGCAGGGTTGGTGTGCTCTGCTGTCACAGTCCAATGTGTTTCTTTCAAGATATTCCTCTGACTATCCCCATCGTCTGATGAACCTCTGGTCTTTGTCCTGATCTTGTGCAGTCCTGGCGAATCGTTGGATGATGAGGTGCGAAATGTCTTCATATTCACTTCGTCGGTCGTTTCGTCCTTGAAGCCTTGCGCTGGGTTTGGCGTGAGCCGCTCATGCGGAGCCGATTGCTGGTTGTTGCTGCTCCGTATGGTGCTGCGGCCAAAAATAGGCAAGGTGAGAAGAGGTCGCAGAGCAGGCATAGAGCCAGCAATGATACCGATGCCCTCCTCAATGATGGACCAGAGACCAATCTGCCCCGTGCTGAACATGAACTCTGCCTGATCGTTGTAAAGAGTCAAATAACGCAGACGGACAATGGTGGCGCAGCTTGCACTAAGAGGAAACAGTCAGTCCGTGTATGGGAATGCACATGAGGGTCCAAAGATTTCCCTGCTTACAATGCAGCGAGACCAAGCATGACGGCTACGGAGAACTTTACTCTCCTCTTCATCTGGATTCTCCACAGCAAGATTCCTGGAAGGATGGCGAGAGAAAAGTCCGTAACGATAGACACGGCTGAGAAGAAGAAACTGACTCTACTGTTGAGAGTTGGACTACATGTCCCATTCGTCGTTTCTCCCCACAGCTTGGTAATGGGATGGCACAGATTGGCGATGGCCACAATGAAGATTACAGCCGCCACTGCTGCCATGGCTATGATTGCGTAAAGCGTCCAGACGAAGCGGCGGCGGGCATCTGCAATACGAAGCAGACAGACGCAGATGCTGCTTTTAATGGGAACTGTGCAAGATGCGTAGAAAAACTCGGCAATAAAAAACAACTTCATTTACAGTCAGCCAAGCTAGATAGGTAGGAAACGGACGTGATAAACTTACCTTTGTGCCTTGCACTGCAAAATTCATCCAAGGTCAGCGACTCTTTGTTATGAAGCATGTGGAGCGAGTTTGGCTCTGTCTTCCTCTTTTATTCCACCAGCTCCAATGTACGCGTTGATGTTTTCGAATTCCATCTTCTTGCACAAGCAAACAGGTGTCCATCAATCAACTTCAAACGACGAAGCAGGAAATCATAAAATGTGAGAGCTTGCTTACTGCTATCACTATCGTCGATATATTTGGCGTATTGCCCTGCCCCATAGAAGCAACACACGATGACAAGCGAGGCGGTGACGGAGTAGAGCATCTGCAATTATTATCTCTTTCAGCTTGGGCTCGTTTCTCAAATATGTCGCGGTTGGCACGTACGAGTCCGGCAGCCATGAGTATGTCGTCTGTCCCGATGGCATTGATCCACTTGCGAACCCCGAAACGTGCGATCAAAACGATCCAGCTCAACACCAGCATAACACTGGTGACGTAGAGAAGAATGACACCATCACCCTCTGGCTGCTTCATATTGAACGATCGAATGTGAATCACAACAATTAGTGGACGAGCGTGGAGGTCGGCTGGTTTGTCAGAGAGCTCGCCGGCGACAAGAGATACACTTTTCGTATGCGCGTGTAGGCTCTCGTGCCGTAGAGACGAAGAGTATGTAGGCGAGATGGCCACAGCCTTTACACGAGGATAGAAAGAGGGAGGGAGAGGGAGGGAGAGGGAGTTGTTGCAAGAGAAAGATTTCCCAGAAGTCAGTCCACCCGGCGACGAGAATGCACGGGGTGTTATCGCGTCAGCAACCCGACTTTTTCTTTTCGGTTGTTGTGGTTGTGTCGGATGATCAGTCGGTGGAAGTAACACAATCCCTATTCCGATGGACCTTGGGTAGTACGTTCAATACGCCACAAAGGCATTGTCGGGATGACAGACTGAAGACTCTTCTCGGCCTAGGTATGGTTGGGCAGTACAAGAAAGCGTGTCTGTATGCGGCAGTCGAAGAAAGAAAAGTCTGGGGTTGCAGCCCAGTAGCCTGGCTCTGACAGTTGAACGGTAGTAGTACGTAGTACACAGTAGAGCCAAAACAGGGGTCTATTTTTTTGTTTCCCTTTTTTTTCTTAG